CAAGCGTAAGCTAACAAAGAACTAAAATATCTTCTAGTCTTTAAAAAGCCTACGCAAACTTCGCTAAAATTTCATCCGAGGAAATTGAGGGATAAATGGGGTTCAACTAATTTTCCGACCTATCCAAAACATTCACAACGCATAAGGTATCCTTGAAACAGTGAAATGAGCAAAGTAAGACTGATTTATGGACAGCAAGTGGCATACTTACAAAATGAGGCAAAGATATAGGATCTGCAACTTGTCGAAGAAAACGTACTGAACCACCCCGGTCTTCTGTGACTTTTTGAATCAAATTCGAATAGAAAACAAAATCAGGAGTATGAAGTCTTGAATTGAAGTCGGTGCAGCTTTTCATGACTTCTCCGTTTACATTCGCTGATTCCATTTTCATGTTTCCGAGGAAAGGATGATTTTCATTGGTTGTCGTAGATGGCAAGTTTGAAAATTCAAGGCCTTCAGTTGATTAAGCTTGAGTATGTCAATATTATCTGTGGAAAAAAACAGTCTGCATACACTTAATAAAAACAATACTCGATTACGATCGTTCCCAATTCGGAAGCTAGTTGATATGTTAGTCTTATTGTGCTATTTCTCAAATGAAACACCATATGGGGATGCACGTGATTTCGAGAATTGTGGTAACAAATCTAATTTGAGGAATATGTTGATGAAGCTAGAAAGATATTGCACACGCGTTTTTGAATAAAAAAAATGGACACCATATTGACAGCATAGATAGCATTTCATGAAGAAAATTGACAAGGTGAAATTCAAAATTTTTGAGAGCTAATGACTGATTAACATAGCGACCTTCCATCAAGAGATATCTGAGCAGGGGTTGTGACAAGTAGTTTGAAGTTGAATTGAGAATGTTTGTTAGGAACACAAAAATACACAACCTCATTCGAAACGTTATTAGTAACTTCTTGCAAACTGAGTGCATGATACCGTGATTATCAGACTTATGGAGAAAAGTCATTCAGAATTAGAGTCAAGAACGTTTGCATGTAGACGAGATAAACAGCCATGACCATGGTCATCTAAGAAGAAGGATACAGAAATTGCCCTTCAAAATGCTTATTTGTAATCTGTCTACAATTTCTCGAAATGATCTCTCACATGAAGGTTTTTCAAGCAGAATTTGCAAATTCGAATTATCATCAAATGATTTTTTTTTCACTGTTAATGGTCAATGTAATGTTTGACCGGTATCGATGATATGGCTACCAGAATTTTGCAAAATCATAGAGTCGTGCAACCTTTATGCAAACTTAGGTATGTGCGACTGAAGACAAATTGTTACATTTTAAGGCGCATTTATATTGCATTTGTTGCAGCGAATGTCCACTTACAAGTCCCCCTGCCTCCTCTGCGTAAGTAAACAGAAGTTATATAGAAAATGTTCATTTGATTCCCGTATTCCGGATCCTTGACTCTAACACTTTAACAAGATGAGAAAAACCAAAAATTGCTGGTAAAAGTTTATTTTTACACGGTAAACTTACTAGAAGCAACTCATAACCGACACGACAACAAAATATGTAACAACTTGTTTGTAAAGACGACATACTGCGAGCGTCTAACTTTATGTTGTTTATGCATGCACAAGCAGGTTAAATTCGAGCGGAAATTTGCAAGACGGCCGTGGAACCGCGCGAGGTATCGTTAGAGGCGGCAGAACAATGGCAGTTACTGTTGCCGTGCACTGGCCGGTGATGAGGGTCGTAGAGCACCCTCTACCGATTCGCGACGGGTAATTCAATGAAGCGTTCAAAAACGACACTGACACACGAATGGATGAGATACATTGAGAAGAAAGTGATGAAAACTACGGAGTGGAGCTGAGAGGCTACGCGACAGCAGAAATATTCCGACAAAGCTTAACCGGAAGTATGATTTGCAATACTGAATCATATGCCGTACAAGCGAACGTAAAAGAAATTCTTAGCAATGGATATAGGAAAATGTATAGATCTATGGAGGCAATGACAACTTCAGAGCTTCCACACAGTTGATGAGGAGATGCTGACACTTACACCACAATTCATCTAAAGTTACTAATCCATTAACACCTGTAATTTTTGCGTATTTGCATCAGAGATAATTTCACCGAGTTATGGCCGTGCATCTACGACAGAGGTCGGATATTTCAAACCTCCCTCAGGAAAAGCGTGCCTCAAATCATTTTGTTTTTGCTTACAAAGCGAAATTGCGAATGTTTCATTCACGCTATCCAGATATCAAATCAAAGATAGCCTTCTCAAGGAGGAAATTTACGAAGTTTTGATACCTGCTGCTCAGCTGATTCCAGTGGATGAGCTTGAATACAGAAACATGTTGATAATTAGCAATTTTCCTCAGAGCGATTATAGCTAGCGCTAAGCAAACCGCCAGGTTGTCCAGTTATACTCCTTTCAGTACAATCAAGGAAATTACAGAAGATTTCTGTGAAATGAGAACCCAGTGAGAAGGCGTTACAAAGTTGTTCTGCTGAGGTGTATCCAAGAAGATACATCGCTTATTTATGGAAAATCAAACAAAGAAATTACGTTGATATAGTGCCAGAGACTCAACCTCTTCTGAAACTACTTAGCTACTTAAAACGCAACACCAACATCAGACACATCCTTATTGTTAGCATAATGCAAGAATCAAAACAGCTGAACGTTGCTTGCTAAAGATTGACCAGGCGTAACTAACAATATTATCCGTACGTACGAGAAAATTTTGAGAGAATCATGCCAGAGTGCAAAAGGTAGGGTGATTCATTGGTTACCGTCGGAAAATGGAGCAGCTGATGGCCATAACCAGTGGCGTGTTCGCTTCGAATATTAAGCGAGTGGCAGCTGGTCGCGCTCTGATGACAATGCTTCGGACACAGGTGCACAGCAGTGCGCAATTTCCCCGCTCCAGAATGGCCTGCTCAACCTATATCGGTTTCGAAGAGTTCAAACATGATACTTCATGAAAACTGAAGAGAAGAGAAGGTCGACAGGGTGAACACGACAAAAACGTCTAACGCGGAGCGCACCTTTATTGGACTTCCCATATGCCAAAAAAAGCATGATGTAAAAAATATCGCGCATAATTCGGCGTTCCCTTCTAAGTAAGGTAAACTGATGCCAGCGAACAAACGCACGCAGTTAGAACAGATGTAACCCCTCTGAATAATTGTCCTAATTCGCTGCATTGTATTTTTCGTTCTAGGCAGAATTCGTGGAGTAGAAAGGAAGACTGCCGCAAAATAAAGAACGTGGCTATCAGTCTTTGAAGTAGGTACTTGTCGATCGGAGTTATCATGCCGGAAAGATTACAAGAATATGCTCAACATTCCGGCTTTAAGAATTGATAGACAAGTCATACTTCTATAACTATTCAAAATCCTGACCTTTATACCGCCTTCGGTGCTAAATTAGGCTGATTCTATAAACCTTTTGCAATTACCAAGCATTGGATGTGAAACTTAGAACCTATATCTCGCAATCTACCACACTTCAAAGGTTTACGAATAATTGGGCATAGGTCATATCAAACAGATACTCAGAGATGCGAAGAACTAGTTAGAAGCGCGAGGAACTCTGAAGCTTCTCAGGTACTTCCATAAGCAGAAGCGGCAGTCCTTTGCTGCCTCCTGCCCGACCGGCCGCTTAACGAGCAAATCAAAATATCATTTTCGGAAAAGGAAGAGCTGACGACTTCCCAATGAAAAGCCGAACGATCTCTTCAATTAGCCTCAAAATTATGATTCAAAGTAAGCATAATATTGAAAAAAGGGAAAGCGAGTTGAGGAAAAACACATTTAACGTCGTTTAACGAACTGAGGAAAAACACGTTAGCGTCATTTAACGAAAAAACGTTGGGTCAATTTATAGAGTCACATTATCAGAAAAAAATCATGAATCCATAAGCGAGTAAAATAATTTTATGAATACGGCACTATATGAATTTGAAAATGAGATCAACTCCAAGAATTCAGCTAAAGCGGTTGCTCAGCCAGATACGAAGAGTAATCCAAAAAGCAAATATGATACAGTGAAGAAAGGTGGGGTCAAAAGCAATCTGAAAAAGTAGTGCGCAAACATTTTTGAAAAGGCATTCCCTCTCAAAATTTCGCTCTTTCCAAAAAGCAAGTATTCCTCGATTAGGAGAAGAGCGAAGTGAAGTAGCAGCGGATTATTCACGAGCCAAAGACGCAATAAAGCGATCAAAATCAATATTAGATGTCTAATAAGAGCTGGGTGCGCGCAAAGGACTCAAGTTCTTCTACGCATTGTTGAGGTGGAATGTGGTTCAACAGCTGGGGATTCGAATGGTTCTCGGAGATGACACATAAGGACGTAAAGAATTAAGAAGAGAGATAATTGGGTGAAAGAACAGTGAGGCGTTGGACTATGAAAATGCAAGAACAAATCAAATACAAGTGCTGCAGGGACATTGGAAAGGAAGCTGGACTTGTGTCAGCACAAAGATGATTGGGCCACGGAGTGTGAACTTGCGGTGGGCATGCGAATGCGCGCAGTCATCACGGGTAGGGTAGGTCGTCCTCCACGACTCACTACCCGGTCCCCATCGATCTAGGGTCACGCGCGCAAATCCTAGCACCGTTTCGGTACAGATGTGGGTTATGACAAGTAAACCGGGGCTACACGAGTTTGGCCGCGAAACCAAGGAGTTCGCAGCAATCTTAGCCTTCTTGTCGCAAATCACCGTCTCGAAGACCCTTGTGGATTTTTTGAGTTTCCACGGTGAGGTACCCCGGATTGCTGCCGAGACCTCGGAGCTAAGCTGACCTAATTCGCATGTAACGAGCGTGTGCCATGCTGCTGGCGCGGCCGCGCACTACCCAAACAAACCTGCATTGACCGCTTAAACGCCGCAACCCCAGCCAAGAAACTCTTGTGAGGTGCGCGTGGTGCGCGAGGTGTGTGTGGTGTGCGACAAGTAGCAGCTCTATTGAATCTGGATCTCCGGCGGCGGCCAGTCGTCGCTTCTTCAGCATGCGTGATTTGCAGCGAGGTATTTCACCTCTGTTGACACTCATTTCAAATCGTAGAGTGTCTTAGGGCGAAAACGTTCACGAGTATCCCATTCCACTCCATGGACAAAGGACTACTTTGATGTTCTAAGTCTCCAGTCGTGGGTGGTCTTTTCTCCTGTTCGACAGAACGGACCAAAACGGAGCGCTGTATTAGACTCATATTTGACATTTATTCTTCTCCGTCTGGAAATAGAAATATGGGCGGGAGAGGTAGCCCGCACTGGTTTTTAGGATAGGGTTCGGTCTACGCTCATTGTCAGTTTTAAGTAACTGACTTATTGAATTTCTGTAGAGATTTACCCATCATACTTATCACATGTGCTGCGTAGGTCAAAGCCGAACAAAGTAAAATCTGGCCCCCATAAAATCAGAATCTGATTAACCGCAAAGTGGTTTTTGTGCAAGAAGAGGATAAATCCTCATATCAAGTATGTGTTCAACTCTTCTGAGCATAGGTTTGAATTACATCAATGCTATAAAAGATATAAAAGCACCAATGAGCTGATGAGTCACTGGTGGTGCTAGTTTTATGTCTCAGCGGCATCCTTTCCGGTTTCTCCCCTCCCTGCGTAAGTTTTTCGATCTCTTCGATGACAATCTTACTCTACAAGATGCATATCAAAGTCAACTTCCTATCACTAAGTTTAGGACCAACACGGTCATTTCATCCAGTCTAGTTCGTAGAAGAAGTGGTCGACGGCCAAAGTTAGACGGAATCCTGGTGAAGAAATATTGTGCATGCTGGAGATAATCTAAAAGCACCTGTTAGCAAACTCCACACATTGTCGCTCATAGCTCCCAAGTCATTCTCCTCCAACGGTAGCAGTAGTCCCGTTCCTCACACTGATCGGCTCTTTATATGCAGAGCTATAGGAGTAAATTATGAATCGCTCTTTGATTATGCCTCCAATCTGATGTGATCGACACTGTCGTTCCATTCCAAATGCTGTCAATGCAGTAGAGCTTTTTACTGAGTAGAGATCCAAACTTTCTACGCGTGAGGCATTCGAGAACACTGTGACGATGACGCGACATCTCCGGCAACCGCATTTTTCTGGTATTCATCTCTACTTGAATGGTTTTTCTGCTTACGCATGATAGTATTTAGACACAAGAAGTCACTGAGCTGAGTGTTGAGGACATGCCTTCTTGTATGAATGTTTTATAGTCCTTCGGGCACAAAAACTGCAGTAGTCCGTCGATTTCATAAAAGACCTGTAATTAAAGATGCGAATTTAAAAAACTATTAGGTTAAAAAGTTGATTGAATAAAAGTTTCATCAACGAAAGCCACAAGAATGCTTGAAACACTTAAACAGTCCTCTGCTGCTGTTGTCTATGATCGATGTATTCTGATATATTTTTATAGCCGCTTTACTGTTGCTGCGCGGGTGCATGTTTGATCTTGTCAGTACTTGTCAGTACCAAGGCGAAAGATCAGTTTTCTTGAGGATATGCTGCATGATCAGCACGTAAACTTCCCCCCGTACACCGAGTTTGGAGCTCTTGGTGTCTCGAAAGTTTGGAGTTTGAAGAACAAATGTAGATAAAACTGTTAAATCGAGAAAGGGGATGAACTTAAAAAAACGAAGAAGCTTTATTCGTAAAGAGTATGCTTACTTGCTCCCTACCCTTTGCAATTCGTAGCTCTTCAAAGCCAAAATGAAAAGAAACTCAATAAACATTAGATCCAATCAGTAATTTTCCAGCCTGAAAAGCTTAGATATCGGACCGGCCGCGAAGTTTATGTTTGCAAAGTTTGTTTCAAATTGCATAATTATTTCTATCATTCTAAGGCGAACATACAAAGAGCTGCCCCTAATTCCTTCAATTCCTCCTATCATTCGAGGCAAGCCTCAAGGAAAGGTTGAGTCAAGTATTATTTAATTTTGATAACTTTTATACATAATATTTTGACTTCCACGACTCGGGAGCTCGCTAGTTTATCTGTGAAAAATAGTCGAATAGTTTTCAACTTCCAATCATGAGGTGTTGAGATGCGTTAGAGACATGAGATTGTGCCAAAATGATGGTGGGTTACATCTGAAACTCAACAGCTTTGCAATTGCCGTGGACCGCCAAAGTAATATTTTTGATCTTTCACCAGATGAGGCAAAGGAGTTTTAATATTGTTAGCTTAAAACTTTAGGAGGGAAAATAGAGGCGTATGTGGACTTGTAATCTCCTGACATCGAACTCTAGACGCAAAACTCGTAACAATGAGCTCGCTTTCTGTGTGTTATTTGTGATTTATCTATTGAAAAGCTGTTGCAAGTCAGACTTGGGAGCACTGTAAAATAATGCCTACAGTCGCGGTCTCACGAAGGGAAGTTATGATCTATGATGCTAGTTCCGTGTAGTCACAAAGGCCACAAATTAAATTATTGCCCATGATTGCCGTATGAGGTTCTGTGAACGGTTCGACGATACAGGAACTGTAAGAATATCTCAAAAGAATTTAGTGGCTTATTGTCAGCAAAGCAGATTTTCGTTGGAGACTATATCCGTTGTTCGACGCCGCTGGCATGCACAAGAATCAAAATTGAAAATGCAACTGATGGTATTGTTTGTGATTCAAGATGTGTCTCTCTTCTCTTTCTCGGTTTACCTATGATACATAATCATGTTCTTCATGAAACTACAGCAAAAGCTATTATTCCTTACGTGTACGACATTGCCCGCGTCTGTTGTAGACGGTCTGACGGTCTACTTTGCATTATATCCCAGATAATGGATATTTTCGGCCTTTTAATATAGGTTTGTAATCATCCCGATGCGATGAGTGTGGTGATTTAATTGAAACCGTAATCATTTTGCAGTAGATACATGGAACGACGGTGACTCTCATTGCGGAATGAACGCAGCATCTGCATGCATTTGCTTGGCTCAACTTTTATCTACCGTATTCTGCAAGATTACGATGATACGATATACTGGAAGATCTGTCCCGTCGAGCCCACGAAGACTTAAAAACTGTATCACAGTTCGTATCATGGACTGCACTGTCCTTTTTATGTCATTCAAAAACTCCACCTCTTGAAAACGAGAACGAAAGAAGCGGCACTATAACGCAATGCCACTTGGGCAGCTGTAATATGTATTTTCAAAGAAAAACGGGCTCTATCCCCACACTTTTGCAAAAACACTTTCAAAATGGCCTCTCTCCAAGCATCACAACGTTTCTTCGTGTTCATAAAAAGATCAGAATGACGCAGCGAGAAGAAAAGCAAACAGGAAGGAGGCCAAGAGCGAGCGCATCCTTTCCGCAAACCTTGGCGCTCTCCTAAAGAGGACGAAAAGGAGGGATGAGAAGTTAGGCACAGCCTTTGGAAAAACTTTTCTCAACCACATAGGTCTCCAGCAAACGAAGCGCAAATAAAATTCATCAGGAACTAAAACGCATGCTCCAGAACAGTGACTCACATGCTGAAAAGAAAATTATTCTACATGTGTGGAATGGGTTTTTCTCGAATTTATTGTTCCAATTACGCAGAAGCGCTTAACATTGATGTACAAGAAGCTCGAAGAGCTGAGTATATGATAAGTTGACCATGCACAATCTTATTGCAAGGAAGGTCATATTTCTATCATAGAAAAGTCAAGATGTTATAATAGATCTTTGTGATGATTATTCCACTAGCAAAGTCAGAGCGTCTTTGATTGACTAAAAAAACTGTGTTATGGCACCGGAAGTGGCACTTGACAGCTTATTGTTAGAAAATACTACCTCTGTTCTTTCTAGCACGTGGTAGACAGCACCCTTGCACATTCGGACTGAGCCTTATCTCAAATTAAATCCTATACACCCACTTTATAATAATTAATAGAAGAAATGAGTCCAAATAACAGAGAAAAACCAACATATGCATCAACCTGTTGGCTTCAACTCTTCTATTGAGGATCACGAAGTCAAAGTGCCGATCACCTTTACTGCAGAGCGAATGTGAGAGCTTGAAGCGCTAATTTCAAATTTGTCTTTTTATCTGCCGTGCACTTCTGGAAAAAATGCTACGGACATTTTTGATGTCGCAAAACGAGATAATTGTGGAAATAAATCATCGTTATAGCCTCTTTTGACCTGAAATGGAGCAGATGCAAGTGTCAGGATTTTTCAAACCAAGAACTCCTTTGCCTAGTAATTAGGACTTTTTACTGCTTCGTTTGACGCTCAAAAAGGCTGTAACGATTGATTTTAATCAGGCCATTAGATCATTTTTTCGCTTCAGGAAATGCTCATACTTTCTCTCATACTTTACTTCTTTTCCAGGGGCGCTCTGCAGAAGGGAAAGGCAATGGATTTAGCTTTGCAACCTGCAGTGGCTCTATACAGATTCTGTTAAGCGGCCATTTCGACTTCGTGACCCTCCCTTGTTGAACAAGCTCAAGAAATTAAAGGCAGTGTCCGGGCAAAAACTTGATTTTGAGATTTTGTGCTTATACGGGCCTATTCCCCATGCTGAATCCGTAAATCCACATTGGAAAGCGCGAAAACGGCGAAAAAGGGCTCTAACACGGGAGGGAAATCAGCAGGTGGGCGGGGCTTTCCCCATTTCACGCTCCCAGCTCCCGAAGCGTTTTTCTCGATTCCGCTAGCCGTCCTAACATCGCTACCGGTCAAGTGCGAATGATTGACTTGAAACCGGAAGCGAGAAGGTCGCTCCAGAAGCCGGGAACGTGAATTCGCAGTGGGGGAGGACCCCGCCCACTTGTTGATTTCCCTCCAGTTTTAAAGCCCTTTTTCGTCGTTTTCGCGCTCTCCAATGTGGATTTTCGGATTCAGCATAGCGAATAGGCCCGGGTAAGCACAAAATCTCAAAATCGAGTTTCTGCCCGGACACTGCCTTTAAGCGCTTGAGAGTGGAAGCTCATCACTGCATCATAAGAGGATAGACTAGAGAAGATCAATTGTAGGAAGTCAAGTGCAATGGTTGTGCTCGTAAAAATCTTATAGTTTCGTGTCGTAGCACTTTTGATCTCCTGACAACAACGTAATTTCACGGATACCCTTGAAGAAGTGCTTCGAGTGCATCTATGTACTTTCTCCAATGTTTGGTAGTCTGGAACCGATCAAATATCACCATAGTGACTGGAAGATTCATTCCAGTGCTCAAAGATACTGCCATGCACGCTTTTCGTACACTGCGTTTAAAGGCAGCGTCCAGGCAGATCTGGACCTATGGGGCTTTTACGTGGAAAGTACTTTTGGGGCCCTAACTAAGGCACTGCCCAAGCGGCAGCTCATGTAGTGCTCTAATGGCTGAGATATTCCCCTCGAAACTGGCCCCCGCGAACGTATTCGCATGGATTCGTGGCGCAAAGCGTGTGTCCTCGCGCGAAACTGCCATGAATCCATGCGAATACGATCGCGGGATCCAGTTTCGTGGGGAATATCTCAGCCGTTAGGGCACTACCTGAGCTGCCGGCTGGGCAGTGGCTTAGTTAGGGCCCCAAAAGTACTTTCCACGTAAAATCCCCATAGGTCCAGACTTGCCTGGACGCTGCCTTTAAAGGCAGCGTACACCCAAAATTTGAGTTACCTAATTTTCTAGATCTTTCTTACCGTGTATATACTGGGCCCAGAAGAAGACCAACTGCGTTGGTCCGGTCTCCCAATGTTGCTTCTGAGCGGAGAAAACCCCCCTCAATTTTCTTTCACTTCGCCCCTTTTCTTTCACTCCGCCTCCTCCGGACGAATCCATGACAGCGTAAGCTGCAATTGCAGTTGCAGTTGCTGTTGCAACTGCTGTTGCATCTACAACTGCAGTTTTGGGTGTACGCTGCCTTTAACGAGGCCAGCACCGAGTAGTGCAGTCACACACCTGCGCGCGAGCGCTACCGTGTGCTGCAGCCTGCAGGGACCATGCCGCGCAAAGCGATGTGGTCCTTGTTTTAGATACTCTTCCTGCTTCTTTCTTAGCTTATGCTGTCCTGCTTCCAAATCTCTGAGATTTTAATGTCCGAAGGTCTACTTCGGTACTTCTTGAGTTCTCTCAAAGTATCACCGCGCGAATGGAAAACAGGTTTGAGGTCTTGCAAAAGGATATAATTTATATCATTTCATTTGAGAATTCTGGGGAGGCTGGTGCTCCTCCTTCTTACAACTGAATGAATTTGTGAGGTGTAATCGTGCATATCGTACAGGGAGAGATTAGTTTGAGTGAACAGCGCTTTGGCGCTGTTTACTCGAACCTAAACGGTATACGATTATGTCCACTGAAATACGAGTCGATATAATAGTCGATATAATGAATCTAGACATCCGGAATCAGCCATCCGAGGAGGGCCTGGATGAAATGAAAGATGTCGTGAGGTAAACGCTCAAAGATTTGATATACCTCCTAACCTCCTTTCTATGCTGCGAAAAATAAACCATATCCGGTATCAAGACAGATCGGATGTGGGCATAGGAGCAAGAAAAATGGCAATCCGCTACTACAAAATAAAAATCACGAGTTACAGTGATAAAAACAAGGCCCACGATGTTGTGCGCAGCATGGTCCCTGCACGTACGGTAACGCTCGCGCGCAGATCTGTGGCTGCACTACACGGCGCTGGCCTCGTTAAATGCATTGTATGAATCCCATATTTTAGTGCTAGTGTTCTAGTCTAAAAATTCGTATCGCATAGCTTGTATACTTACAAATTCTCCACAGTTTCAAATTATCCTTCATGAAATATTACTATCAAAGCCTCCCAACGATAACGCCGGTAGAGACGGGAAGGTGTTAGCTTCGAGCATTCCTGAAAAAGTACCACACGACAGCGCGCATATTCCGTCTCCGTGATTATCATGAGGGGGGATGGAACTATAGTGTGTCTCCAGCCAGCTTCCCTAGGTACTTCCGCGACTCAATCGCAGTGCACGCTCGGTGCTGCCTAGTGCGCCTCCTTTCAGCCTGTGTTAGCAAATTTTTGCTTATCACTCTTGTTGGTTATGTTCATAATCTTTCAATTTTATGTGCCTGCGATATCGACAATGGTGGTGATGAATTTTGCATGCCTCAGTGGCCCTAAAAGCTTTCGTTGCATGCTTCCATTCGTTTCAGACAGCTTGAGTTGGGTCCCTGGATACCAAAAAGGAAAGGGGAGGGGGACCCCGTACTCAAAAATAATGACCGAAAACTCGAAAAGAAGAAAGAAAAAAGAAGTGAAAGGGTTACTCTCCCACCTTTCACCCGCTTCGTTGAAACCGAGTCTTCGGATCCCTGAGAGCTTCGTGTGCCACGCGGGTCTTCCACAATTGAGGTTGGGGCGTGAACACTAAAACTTGGGTAATTAAACCCTTTATTGATCATTAATCAACAACAACAAAACATACGAGGCGAAATACGAGGCCTAAAGCAACTCTAATCGAACGTTGAGTATCGTAGTTAGCACCAGTAAAAGGATAAACACTACACGGCGAGTATAAGGCACAATGACCTGAGTACATGAGAAAAAATAGGAAAATAGCAAATAAACTCAACAAATAACATATGAACGCAACTGAGTAATAGAGAAACAGCAGATAGGTGCAAAAAAAAATGAACCGGAGCAAATGAACCGCAAATATGGGGCAAGTATGAGATGCAAACAATGAGGACAAAGCATATGTGCCAGTACTACCTCGGAGTTATGCAAGACGAGTGACAGAAAGGTTATGAATCAACGGCCGACGAAGAAATGCCAATTGAGGAGATCCGAGATCGATCACTGTGCGATGCTCCTTGGCCGCGGCCCAAAATACTTGGGTTTTGGCGCGCGGTAGGTCAACAGGGGGTGCTGAGTATAGGTGCGATGGGAGCCGGGCCCTCTCCAGGTGAAGGGGTCTCTGCTACTCCCATCCTTGTAAAATGAAGGGGGTAAGTGAGCCGTGAAAGCAAAATACCCCAACAAATTACATACCATTCGAAAGCTGAGGTCATGTAGCGACGTTGGCCGTCTATTTTTTTTTCAGTTCTTCTGTCCCGCTAGATATGAGTTTTAGTGCTGCATATATTAACTGGTTTTTTGTCCTCACTTTCTGCTCTCCACATGAATGCTACGAGAAAGTCGACGGTCTACTTTGTTAATGAAGACCTGCTTTATAATATGGATAGATAATCAGCAGCGATTAAGTCTTCGTTTGCAGAAATCTGCTGTTGAGGACATGATTTCAGATAAAAAGCAGTGTAAATCTCGGTAGAGGGGCGAGAAAGAAGTCAACGGTCCTACGTCAAATTCCCTTTTCCTGAGCTTTTTATATAGATTGCTGGGCGAGAAATCTTGTCAGTTTTTAAAATGGGGTGGAGATATTTACTATTAGCTTGCTCCACCCAGCTCTCCCAATGTATTGGCTTTTATCGGTCACGGGAGCAAGTTCTTTTTAAAGCCAGGAAGCAAAAAACCCCTAACATGCTCCACACCATTCGAAAGCTGAGATCATGGAGAATCGGCGTAGACCGTCTATTTTTCATGGCTTCTCTGTGAAGTTAGATACGAGCAATTCTATACGCCTACTTGCCAGCTAATTTTGTGTAATAATTTGTGCTTCATTTTTGAGAGGAAGGACAAAGATAGAAATAAATAGACAGTCTACGTTTACTGGTATGGTCTTGCTCTGTGATACTGTCAAACAATCAGGCACCTTCATTCATTCTTCACCCAGGAATTTCTTGAGAAAAACACACATATTTTTAGCTAAATGCCATGTATCTTTAAGTAGAGGGGAGCTAGAGAAAAAGAGGGCCTACGTCGAATCCTTTCTTCGTGGGCTCTCTAATGGTATATAGTGTTGGGTGAAAAAACTTGTGGCTTCAAAAATGAGGTGGAGATTTCCAATACTAATTGCTCCACCCCGCTCCGGCTTTCCATGGGTCGCCGGAGCAAGGTTTTTTTGGATTGGGAAAGGTTTGTGCACCGACTTTGTGCTTCATATACCATGTGATAGCTAAGACGTGGAATCGACCTAGACCGTTTCTTTTTTCCTAGCTTTTCTGTGAAAAGAGATACGAGCAGTTTCATTTACCTACAGCCAAGTCTGGGTGATTATCTTTTCGAACCAAGAAGATCTTTTTCGAACTTTTATATATGATTCGAAACGAGTAAACTAACTGTTCTTTTATTTGTTATTAATCTCTCTAGTGAACGGAGATACGGTACGAGTATTGTCAGCAAACATGCATCCATCATTAACTGGTCCAAAATTTCTACTCTTGCTTAACTCTTTCTTGAGACATTGTGTGTTCATTGATACAATGTCAATTATTCAAGGAATCAAACATCCTTTTTATTTTTAATTATCTTTCGTTAGCAACGCCACTTTGAGTGCGCAGAAGGTCTCAAGCATGCGTTTTTTTTTTCAACAAAACGCTGTTAATTCGATAATCTCTTGCAGTTTTGATATCTGAGAAGAAGAGCAGCTGGCGTTTCCTTCCTAAACAAAAGCGTCATTGTAATAGCTATTTGATTCTGCCGTTATGCCTTGATTCTAGTCTCAACCTCAGGTGAAAGGGGTCAGCCAGATGCCGGCCCTAAAGTGAAGGGGGTCAGAGAAATTTCTCCACCTATTGCATCTATGGTGCTGAGGCCGGGGGTCAGATCCGGCCTCAGCACACTCCCGGGGGGCCGTCAATGCTGGTAGTGTGCAAGTTGGTCTTCGAGATAACTTCGTTCCTCCGGAAGCGGGCACAAGCTGTAGTGATGAGAACGTGACTTGCAGTACTTGCAGGACGTTCTTTCGGGACAAGGTTTTGGGCAAGTCTTGCCCAAACAGAAGAGGCATAAGTTACGATCTCGCACCAAGGATCTTCTTTCCTCAACGGATCTAAGCTTAGTGCATGCGTCTTCAATATGCGGGCCTTGACAGAAAATGCATCTGTGGTGCTGTGATGGCTCGGCGGCGTCTTCTCCGTACTGACGCTTCTCGCAAGGCGCTAAGTGATCAAGACGACGTTGGAGTAGAGCGTAATCTGGGTCTCGAGGGGGACGCTTGGCTGGTGGGCGAGACCGGTCCTTTCGTGTCTTCTGAGGGGTTTCCGACGGAGTGCTGGAGCGCTGGTGTTCAGACGGTTGGTCCGTGCGCAGTATGGCCGATATTTGAGTCATGAGATTGATCATGGAATTTACTATGAGTTCCGTACTGTCCGAGATTTTTCCTTCCAAATGGCGAGATTTCTCATCAATCAGCGTTGTTATCTGACGTAGTTGCTGCGAGGCGGTTCCTTCGACACGTTTAGCTTTCTCTTCGAGGAGCATGGATTCGATTCTGTGTAACTTGCGCAAAATAGACTCAATGTCCGGGGAACGCGTGGGGTTATTCTTGTCTTCGAGGATGGTGTGCAGAATTTTCTCGATATCGTCGAGCTTCGAGTGGATGTCGACGTCTTCGGACACATAGGGTGAGTTATCCGTCTCCACGTGTGGGTTGAGAAATGGCACGATGTCCATAACTTCGAGTGCTCCTTGTTTGCCTCGCAACAGTTGGGTTTCTTCTTGGATGACGAAGAGATTGAAGTCCTTCGAGTTGATGCGTCCTCCTGGTCGTGGACGATTTTCGAACATTTGTCGGCTAAAGAAACGCGAGGCGTCCCGTTGCACTAGGCTGTCGTAGACTTCCCATAAAAGATGAGATACAACTTGTACTTTTTCCCATCTTTCCTTCAAGTGTTCGATAGCCGCGATAAGTTCGTTCTTTAAGTCGTAGAGCGGTTTCGCTCGTGCTGGATCCGGGTCGAATACGCTGGCCTTTTCCTTGAGTTGTGAATATGCTTCTTCGATTTTTTGACGTTGTTGAATAAGCTTCGTTATTTCGGCATATACGACGTCCAGTCTTCGCTGAAGCTCCGATTCTTCGAACATCGAACTTCGTTTATTGAAGGTGTTCATGAAGTTGTCGATGAATTCGTTTGGGTCGTTCGCCATTCTGAAAATAGACGTATTCGACTGTGTAACTGATTTTTCGTCTGTGCTTAATAGAGTTGATTTCGTACTCTTCGGGGCTGTACGGGTACTGTTTGGAGGGGTTTCGCTTGGGGCGCCCTGGGGTTTCAGGTGAGGGTTCGCTTGGAAGTTCGGTGGGTGTAGGTGGGTTTTCGTGGGTGGGTAGGTGTTCGTGGTCGGGATCCGAATCCAGTAATTCTAGTGGTATGAGACTGTTTACTGGTCTCTTCGTCACTCTTCCGTTTGACATTCTGAGCTCGACTTGGCGTATTTGGTTTGGATTCTCCGTCCCTAAATTCGTTATTAATCCCATTTTCCAAGCATTTCTCGATAAAATGGATCTTGTATAAGTACTACTTGTCCAACCCGGGGAAGTTTTGGGGAACTACGACCTTGATGTAGATGTTTTCGATGCTGCTCCCTCAATGACGTCAAATAGCTGTCTTTCCACAGCTTTCAAAACCCGTCCGTCAGCATTTGCGAGGCGTGTAGGGCGACTTTGCTTCGTTTTGGGTCCTGAGCTGGACAGCCTCCTCCGGAGGTAGGAAGTTGGGATCCTCTCTATCGCTAAGGCCATCGTCTTCGACAGAATACGTGATGAGTAGCCTATTCTGTATGAAGTCTATGGGCCTTATAGGGACAATTTCGTCCAGATTTTCCTCCTGGTACGTCAATGGTCTATTGTTCAGGGTGCCTTCGATTTCTACAAGCACGGTCCTGAGTGAGTCTTCGGTGACGATTTTCCTGCCCAGGGTTTTGTAGAGCGCTTGTTTGACGTCTTTTATAAGACGCTCGTAAAACCCTCCTTGCCACGGTGCATATGGCGTGATCTTCTTCCATGTTATGTGCGCATTCGCCATGACTTGATCCACTTCGTCGTTTTTTAGACAATCCGTGGTTATTCGCTCTGCTAATGCGAAATTCGTGGCGTTGTCGCAGGTGATCGAGTCCGGAACTCCTCGACGTGACATAAATCGACGTAGGGCGTTTATGAACGCTGTCGCCGAGTTGTTTCGGATGAGCTCAATGTGCATTAAGCGGGTTGTTGCACATGTGAATATGCATCCGTACGCTTTCGAGACAATGTTTTCGTTGCTCTGTATCTTCATGGGTCCGAAAAGGTCTAGACCAATGTTTTGAAAGGGTAGTGACCTGATTACTCTTCTGGTAGGTAGATCCGCTAAAGGTGGGTACCGGAAGGGTAAGTTGTTGAATTTCTGACACGGTACGCATCTCTGGATCTCCTTTTTCGTCTGCTGTCTCAACTTCGGTAGCCAGTATTTCTTTCGAACCTCCGCCATAGTTAACCCGACTCCACAGTGGAGTTTACCGTGCGCTTCTCTGATTATGAGCTTCGCTAAATGTGTGTTTGGCGCGATGAAAATGGGGTTTTTGGCATCTTCTTGCAGGCAACTGTTGCCTAATCTTCCGAAGCATCTCCAGATACCTTTGTCGTCTCTGGTAATGTTGAGTTTCCGTTATTCTTTGGCTGTTATCAGAGCTTCGTGTTCTTTCTGGTGGAGCTTAATAATAGACCTTTCTGCTTGCCTTAGATCTGCTCCTTGGAGTATATCCGTAGCTTCCTGAATTCCACTGGCTCTTCTGATTTTCTGCTTCGATTCCTCTGGTAAGTTCTTCGCCAATTTGTTCAGAAATTTGCCAACGTACGCTATGGTTCTTTTCAGTCTTCGAAGCGAGCTAAACCGTTCCTCCTGTATGAGTGGATGACCCGCATTCGAGATTTGCAATACTTCAGCAGGATCAGGGGGTAATTGGAATCGTTCTAGCCCTTCATAAATGGCGTTTTCGTCCGTAAGTGAGGTCGGAGGGCCATCCCACCATATGTGATGTTGCAATTCCTCGGCTGTGAGACCTCGTGTGGCACAGTCCGCTGGGTTTATCTTCGTGTTTATGTAGCCGAAATAGATATTTACCCCTTCCTGCTCTAGTTTTTTCACTATTTTCTTGATTTCTTTGATTCTATTCGTTACTAAGACTCCTGTAGCCTTCTGTGGGCTTTCGTTCTTTAGCCAACTCAAGGCTATCTCGGAGTCTGATAGGAGATAAACTGCGTTTATGTTGATAATTTTCTTCAATTCTTCGAAAGTGGATAACAACAGCCTTCCTGCTATCGTCAAGGCGTTGATCTCCAGCTTCGGGATTGTATGTGGCATCTTTAAAGAAGGTAATTTCGACTTCGCAATCAGCAGGTGCTGTTCGGTTCCTTGCCTAATGTAAACAGCTGCTGCTAACGCGTAGGTGCTGGCGTCACTGCAGGCTATTAGTTGGTAGTTTCCTTGCTTCGTCCCTAGTTTTCTCGGTAGCTGCTTCATGAAGCCTGCAATGGATTCCCACAACTTCTTCCACTGCTCCTGGTCCTCTTCAGAGAGCAAGTCGTCCCATCCATATGGTTTTAGCCACAACTGTTGGAAGAAGTGTTTGTTTCGCACCATAAGCGGTGTGAGCCAGCCTAATGGATCGAAAACTGATGCGTTGACGTGTAGTACCGCCGTTTCGTTACTCTTGTCAGCGGTTCTCCGTCGCATCTGGCTACCAATATGTCGTCGTTAGTGAGCCATTCGATCCCCAAGACCTTACACTTCGTTGAAGTGCTTCGGTCTCTTTCTGCGAAGTGTCTTCTGACTTCTGCATCATTCGTGGTGAACTCCCTCATGTTCATATTGATATCTTCGAAGATTCGTTTGACCTCTTTGTATTGTTTGACGGCTTCCTCTCTATCATCCGTCGTTAAGAAGAGGTTGTCCACATACAGATTATCCTTTACTCGTGAGGCGAAATCGTTCCCGCTTTCTGTGGTATCCAAGTGGAAGTTGATGGTGGCTCCCAACAGAAAGGGTGACGATATAAGACCGAATGTCACTCGTGTGAAGCGGAAAGTGACAATGTTTTCTTCGCTCACTGGTTCGTTTAGGTTCTTGAGCCGTAAGAATCTTGTTGCACCTCGGTTTTGTTCATGTAGCCTCACTTGTAGGAAGGCCTTTTCTATATCTGCGGTCATAGCGATCTTTCCCATTCGGAATCGCATAAGCATTCCGCAGATATTAGGTATCGTCAAGGGTCCTTGATGAAGGACATCGTTGAGTGACGGCTTTCCAGCATAATGAGCTGATGCGTCGAAAACGATACGCTTTGGAGTTGTTCGTTTTTCTGGGTTAACCACTGCTTGATGTGCCAGATAGTGGATGATTTTGCCTTTAGGTCGAGGTTTGCCGGTCTTCTTCGACTACTTCGATAATCCCTTTCTGGAGTTGATCTTTGAAGATGTTATCAAACTCCTGTAGGAATTCTTTGCGGTTTTCGTACTGTCTAAGCAGCGACTTTAATCTGGCTAGTGCAATGGATCTGTTATCTGGTAGGTATTCGTAAGGCTCCTTCCATGGAAGCCGTACATAATATCCATCTGGTTTTCTTACAGTTGTTTTCTTGAATTTCTTGAGAATTCGATCCTCTTGGATCTTTTTCTCTTCTTTCTCGGTTCCTGTGTATTCTTCGATCCCTGTGGATTCCGTCTTCCAGTAGTTATCATATATGTCCAACTCGTTATCTTCGCTACTGGTTTGTAATGTAGTGGATACTGCTTTCGTCACAGGTTTTTTCTGTTTCCCTGAGAGCATGAATCCAAACTTCGTCCCGATGAGATGCATGCCCGAGGGTAAGTTGTACTTTTCGTTCTCCATCAATTCCCATAGGTAGTCGCAGCCTAAGAGAACGCGTGGTTGAATGTCTTTGTTGGTCTTCGTTGATAGATGTAGACCACGTCCTCTTATGTAGCTCAAGTCTTCGACTGTGAGCTGTGGTTCCGCCGTCCTGGATGTTAAAATTGCACAGTCGTATAGTTTGCATGGGTATGTGTCACCTATCCTGTCCACTAAATCCACATGTACTATACGGTGCTGTTCCTCTTTTGCCAGCTTCGTTCCAAACGTCTTGAGGCGTAGAGTGGAGGTTCCCTCTACCTTTAGTTGAAGTTCGTCTACTAGTTTGCTATCTATAAATGATAGCTCTGATCCTGTGTCCATGAGTACTTGGACTTGTCTGGACTCTGTGGGTCCTTGTATGGTGGCGGTTCCTGTTAAGAGGAGTGCTCCTGTTTTCTGGGTATTGCTTTCCCTTACATGGTTGACTCTGCTCTCGTCTTGGGAATCGCTCACCCTTTCTGGTTCACTATCTTCTTCTATAGTGACCAGGTTTTGTCTGGTTTGCCTATGTGTGGCTTGTGTTGTTCCTCTTTGCTGTATTCGTGCGACGTTGGATGTGGGAACTATTCGAGCTGGCTGATTGATTTGTTGGGGCTTCGTTGTCGTCCCTATAGATTGTTCGTGGTTCGGCGGCGGTAATAGTCTTCGACATGTCGATGAGTGGTGCTTGAGTCCATATCTGAAGCATCCTTGACTCCTACAGTTCTGTGCAGTGTGATTCGGTTTTCCACAGTTTGTGCACAGCTGATTCCTCGCCAAGAACGCTGCCCGCTCCGATATTGGAACAGTCCTGCACTCCACTGATCGATGATTACTTCGTTTGCAGTAGATGCAGGCTGGTATCGGGCGCTTATCCTGATTTTTTCCCCTTAAAGGAGAGAGTGGCGTATGAGGCTTCGTGATCAGTTCTTGACTCCTTTCTATCCTTTCTTTGGTAGTGATAATGTCTTGTAAGTCCTTCTGGAGAGCTGACCACGTCCACTGTTGAGAATCTGTGAGCCTCTCTCGCCTTTCGAGTGCCTTTGCTTGGATTTCGGCATTGAATTTTCGTAAAACTAGGTTGAGCACTAGTCTTTGATTGACATCCTGGCCTTTCGCGGCTAGTTGCGTCAAGATGGCTGTGATTCGTTCTAGTAGGTTAGCCTGTAGCTTAGTGGACATTCCCTCCGCCTTGGTGGTTTCGAGCTGCATCAACAGGTCTTCGATGATGGATGCGTCTTCGCCATACTTCTTTTTGAGTGCTTCGATGACTAGTTGATAGCTTGCTTCTACCACCTGAAACTGTGCTGCCGTCTTCCTAGCCTCTCCTACTAGCGACTGGAGAAGGTAGTTAAACTTGATCATCGTGGGGATTGGCTGTTCGTCCACGGTGACTTGGAATATGGCCCAAAAGGACCCCCATTCCTCGCGTCTTCCGCTAAACTTGGGAAGTTGTAACCTCGGCAGCATTGATTGCAGTGGGTGGACGGTGGCGGCGTTGTCCATCTTGACGACTCGTTGGATGCTTGAGGTGTGTTGACGGCTTCGAGTTGTCTCTCTCTTCTTCTTGCCGCTTGGGCGAAATTATCCAGTCTGGAGGAAAGTTCTGTCTCCTTTTCGTCCAGTTTGTTAAGAAGGGAGAGTGCCGTCGCTGTTAAATCCCAAGCGCGGTCAACGTACGTCTTTTGGGATGTTCTTTCTTCTTGCTGGGAGTTGTTGTCCAACGAGCTGAAGGCTTCCTGATAACTAGAGACCGCTGTCTCTAGTGCTGCTTTGGTTGTGGTGATGTTGGTGTGGCGGTGCTGTATTGATTTTATCCTGGTTCGTAGGAGATCCATTGACTCTTCTTCGTTCTCCGTGATGGGGATTTCGAAAGCTACCATATGTTGGGAGCTTTCTATCAGCTCTTCCAGTGTGTTCCCCAACTTCGTGATCCTTGTTTTGTGCGGCTTTAGCGACGGTCCCATCCTGTCTTGGTTCACTGGTCCTTGACGTCTTCGTTGGCTCCAATCGATTTCGTTCGGCCTGATCTTCGCGGGTGGCCGATGCACCAGAAAAATTTTTGAGTTGGGTCCCGGGATACCAAAGGGGAAAAGGGAGGGGGACCCCGTACTCAAAAATAATGACCGAAAACTCGAAAAGAAGAAAGAAAAAGAAGTGAAAGGGTTACTCAAATCCCACCTTTCACCCGCTTCGTTGAAACCGAGTCTTCGGATCCCTGAGAGCTTCGTGTGCCACGCGGGTCTTCCACAATTGAGGTTGGGGCGTGAACACTCAAACTTGGGTAATTAAACCCTTTATTGATCATTAATCAACAACAACAAAACATACGAGGCGAAATACGAGGCGTAAAGCAACTCTAATCAAACGTTGAGTATCGTAGTTAGCACCAGTAAAAGGATAAACACTACACGGCGAGTATAAGGCACAATGACCTGAGTACATGAGAAAAAATAGGAAAATAGCAAATAAACTCAACAAATAACATATGAACGCAACTGAGTAATAGAGAAACAGCAGATAGGTGCAAAAAAATGAACCGGAGCAAATGAACCGAAAATATGGGGCAAGTATGAGATGCAAACAATGAGGACAAAGCATATGTGCCAGTACTACCTCGGAGTTATGCAAGACGAGTGACAGCAAGGTTATGAATCAACGGCCGACGAAGAAATGCCAATTGAGGAGATCCGAGATCGATCACTGTGCGATGCTCCTTGGCCGCGGCCTAAAATACTTGGGTTTTGGCGCGCGGTAGGTCAACAGGGGGTGCTGAGGCCGGGGGTCAGATCCGGCCTCAGCACACAGCTTTGATCTGGATAGTTTGTGGTGAAACCTTTCTGAAAGTTCTCCTTCCACAATTAGCATGTTTCTCGGATATTTATAGTTGTAGATGCATTCAAAACAACGCAAAACCTTTCGTTAATCTAGTGGAGCTCCGATTGTCTATATGCCCGTTCTCGAACTCAGATTACTCAAATTTCCTACTTTTTCTACTTTTCTACTCCACAGAAAGCAAACATTTTGAAGAAAAAGTGCTCGTTTCTTTGCTGCTAGTACAAAATTTCACCATGCTTGAAAGTTTCAAACTTTCAACTATTGGATAGAGTAAGTTGAGAATTAGTGAAACTTGTGCACTTTTGATTCTTGCGTAGGCTTCCTTCGAAATGAGTTTGGATGTTTCCACTTCGTCTTTCATCCCTCCCTATGCTAGAAATTCTTCACTTTTCATAAGCTAGAAGAGAAGCATTAAGGCCAGCGCGCGGCGCGTTTGCGGAGGTACAAATGAGAAGCTGGCCGGGGCACACACTATGTATGTATATAAAACTAGCTTGCTTACCCGGCTCCGCTCGGTCCTGACAAAACACTGTAATAAAGGTCTCATCCCTATCCTTGTACAGCCTTTCCCTGTGCCCACTTCTACATTTCATTTCCCGTTCCCTGTGTTGTTTTCGAAATCAGCATGCCCAGTTACCCCCCCCCTGTGCCAACTCCCAGCCCCCCAGCTCAAATTCTGAAAAAACCGACAAAAATCGATAAAAGTAAAAGGTAATTCCACAAACTAATATTGTATTCGTAATCAGCATACTCGATTATCCCCCTGTGCCAACTCCCAGCCGGAGGGTGTGCAGGATCCTCCAAAGACACGCCGCTTCTTCTCCAGGCGCGCCCATGGGAGGCCACCATAATCCCTTCGCGCCTACCTCGCGCCTGTATCGCACTTGTCTCGCACATTCCTGCGATAGTTTCCCTCCGGACAGTGCCTTGTTTCTCCTGGCCTTATTTAGAAAGGTCACTGCTCTAACAAATGGTAACAAAAGATTGACGATAGAAACTCTTGATAATCAACAAATAGAGGTGAAACGCTCGGTCTCCTCATCGAAGTGGATTAAAAAGGTTGTTGTTTATGTAGTCAGAAGGACACCGCATCAGCGATTTGTCAGTAACAAACAAAAATTATAAAACAAGCTGACTGATAGGCAAATACATTCCGCCGTGGCTACTGAGATGTGATGGATAAAAAAGAAGCAAACGGTGATCATGTTTTCTTCTCAGCGGAGCCAAGTATGAGCATATTTTTGGAGATATATAATTTCAAAAACACGTTGTACATCATTTTTTGGCAGTTCATAGGGTCCGCCGTACTTAAACTTTTGTCCTTATGAGAATCGACGTCTTAAACAGATATGCAATTTAGCGGGAAGGGTATCACAGCAAATATTGTTGATAAAAAATTTTTAATCGAATTCTCTCTTAGATGCCATGTTTCAGCGTAGCTTCCTTCAGGGAGAAGTTTCGAGCTTTTCTTGTCGCCAAATTTCATGCATTCTGAGCTGCAAAATAAATATCACAAAAGGACGCAGACTCAATCAAAACACTTGTTAAGCATCGTACATCTAGTCTAACGTCATCTCTCCGTTTCGAGTGTTTTCTGGCCATGCTTTCGTCTACACGCCTTTTCTTTCTGGGCTAAATTTTCATTGATAAATAAGAAAAAGCCCATAAATCCCTTTGGAGAAACGCTCCAAGATATAAAAGTCAGCGCCATTCGACTGAGTGACTCCTCTGGTTAGAGGCATTTCCATTGTCAGTTTACTTTCATTATTTCATTAGTTCTCACGGCTTTTTCTTTTTTATCATTTACATTGTTCAAGCAGAGAGCTTGCTAATTGCTAGGAGAAACAAGGCAACTGTCCGGAGGGGAACTATCGCAGGAATGTGCGAGACGAGTGCGACATAAGCGCGAGGTAGGCGCGAAGAGGTTAATGCTTCCTAAGGGCGCGCTTGGAGAACAAGCGGCAGGCTTTTGGAGGATCCTGATACGCCGCCCTCCCAGCCCTGTAGCTCAAACTTGGCAAAAAATCGATAAAATCGATAAAAGTAATCGATAATTCTGAAAACTAATATGTATTCGGAATCGCCATGCCCACTTGCCCTCCTGTGCCAATTCCCAGCCCCGTAGGTGAACTCTGCAAAAAATCGATAAAAATCGATAAAATCGATATTGATCAAAGGTGAAAAGTAGCCTATGATACGCTCCCCGCCCCGAAGTGTATGTGTGCCAAGTTTGATTCGGATCGGTTCAGAAATGGAATTTTCTATTCCGCACATACGTACACACAGACATACAGACAGACATTCAGCTTTATATATAGGACTAGTGGGTGCGGGAAGTTCCTGACCCGAGCCATATTTTTGCACAAGGGAAATATGGTCATTGGAACGGCCTGTACCGCAACACCTTCTGGTCTAGTGGTTAGTGCGATAGCCTTATAAGTTGATGCAGGTGCAGGTTTAAATCCTTTTGTGTTTTTACTTTCGCATTGTTTCAATTAAACTTGTTCGAGAAAATTTGCCTGAACTATGAATTGGATACAATTTAGCGCATATAGTAATCATTTTTTTCCAAATTTCCATATTTTTTGAAGAGTAAAGGCGTTCACTTAGCTCGATGAAGCTGAAGAAGGTTAATTGAGGCAATGCAAAACTGAAAAACGCAAAGGTGTTCGAACCTGCACCTGCATCAACTCCTGAGGTTATCGTACTAACCACTAGACCACAGTGCACCGGAAGCGCTGTCGCTCCGACCGTATTTCACTGGGCAGCCAGAATCCGCGCGATCCATTCTAACATCTTCGAAGCGATTAGCAGAAACAGAAGCTAGATTCGGAACCAGTGTTCCAAGACGAGCGGGTATACATCTCATCTCAAAAGGCCACGGACACCGAGTATCGTTTCCTTGTAAGTAATGTGCCTGCCAGGCACATTCGGACTAGCTATAATTACTAGCTCCTCAGGATACCAAGACATTGCAAGCCCTTTCGCGGTTGCTCTTTTCAGTAGTGGAATTTGTTTGTGGTAGAGTCAAAGTCAGCACCGATCATGCCCGACCGAAATCAAAATTCGGATCCAAATCTTTTCGAATGTTCCTTTCTCAAAACAAGACCGAAATTTACGCTTTATCGCCTTTTCGATAACTATGTATGTTTTGTGCAATATCAATGGCGATTTGTTTTTTGAGCATTTTTTTGAAGATAGAAGATGTTTGTCTCGCAAAAAACGATTCTTTTCCTAAAAATGAACTAAATGCAGGGATATGTTTGTTTCGTCTTAGTTTCTTTCCTAATAATAAGAATGTGTCAAGGTACAGCACTGCTGATGACCCTGTTCATGATTTCTACGTCATCAACCCAATCACTCCAGTTTTCCACATCGCCTATGGAATTCCCATAGGCTGAATTGTATGCCACTCATTCTATCTAATCACTCAAGAATGATTAACACCGTGCACCAGGAGCGTAGGCGAACGCGGCAACTCCTTTCAAGGCATGTGCCCGTCTACGTTGTACATTGTATCCGTGCAAGCTCCGCCTTCTATTTATGTATATAGGAGCCCCCGACTATAATATGGATCCGTCCAAATATACGTCATGTGCGAATAAACTATTTCAAATATTCGTCTACCCTGTCACTTGGTACACACCAAACTGGTTCATCGTCCAATGAACTTCCTTGCAATCTTCAGCGTTCCTTTACATAAGGAACGGGAATTCAGCGCCTAAGACCCGCGCGGCAGCACCTGCACTAATCAGTTGAACCCTTCTGAGCTCCTTTTTCGTAAGACGACCAAGAGGTAGTAAAAGCTTCAGTTAGCAGTATTCTCACTGGTTAATTTAATCTTCCTGAGCTCTCTTTCCGTATGACGACCAAAAAGTAGTAAAGGCCCCAGCTGTAGAACTTTTGCACTAATTAATAAAACCTTTCTGAGTTCTCTTTTCATAAGACGACCATGTATTATAGATCGGTGGTTCTAGACTTTAGTGTAGCCTATAAAGAACACATTAGCTGTAGAGCTTCTTGAACAGTCGACTAGCACTCGTGGGTGCTGTGGTGGAATGCTGACTACGATAGGCGTGTCAAAGTAACATCACAAACATCTGGGCAACAACATATTGATATATCACAGCAGGTCATGCTTATGGCATGACCTTTATACTGCTCAGGCAGAAATAATGATATAGTTGTAAGGAAGGTGCCTACAAAGTCGGCACATTCCGGCCACCGAGGTATGAATGAGAGACAGCAGAATGAGCAACAAAATGCAATTGAGCAAGTATATAGATCCAGTATTTGTCGAGATATCCTAGTGGGCGTCCATGAGCGGCGCGCTCCGCTTTGACTGTGTTGAGATCCGCAAAATGTGAGCGAACGTGGCGACGACAGGAGCCAGGTGGTTGGAATGAGCAGGCGATGAGGATGCATTACTATTAGGTTGGCGGGTAATTTCTGTCACACTTTTTTCGTAAATCTGAAAAATTTCAGAAGTTCTCTAAAATCTTCAAAATTGCTCCATATGTAGGCCACGGCAGGGCGTACACAGCAGTATGACTGATGCCGCAAATGCGCAATCAGCCACCAACTTTACAACAAGTTTATAAGCACACTCAAAATTGTCACTTTTTCTTTGATTTTTTTCTCTGCGTCTAATTGTGTTTCACTCTCCCATAACTTTTTTAGAAAACATTTTCGCATCGTCCCTTTCATAGTAGCACTTTGGTGCCGTTAACACGCCAAAAACAAGTGGTGAGAAACAACTCAAAATTTTCAAAGTAATGCCACAACAATAGCAATGAGAAATTTGGTCTGGATTTAATGTCACAGAATGCCGTAAGCATACTCTACAAAAAGAACTATCAAGATCCCAAATCGGTCTTTATTTAGAGAAGTAAGAATTGCAAAAAGAATGTTCATGACAGAAAAAAGGCAAGCTGACGCAAATTATTAGATAGTCAAAATTTTTGTTTTGAATGCTCCTAAAGATTTCAAACCTCAATGATCTTAAAGTCTAAAACTAGCTCTATTATATAGCGAAATCTTTGCCTGAGAGAAGCGAATTTATGAGCCTCTACCCGCGTGCAGCACGCGACAAAGCCAAAGAAATATTATGAATTTTTACCGAAAAGCAGAACAGGCAATTTCACATTTTTCAACTAAGCTACAATATTATTGAACCAAGAAAACAATATCAAGCTTGACCGCTGGCTGAGCCGGTCTTATATTCGTATGGCGCTTAATGAAACACGCGCAAATAATTGTGGCGCACCCTGTAGTGTGAGATGAATGCGTGCGAAGGTCGACGGCCAGCAACTACACCACCTTCGCTTCGCTGATGACATAGTCCTAATCCCACCGGACATCACGCAAGCGGAACGAATGCTGGTCCAGTTTGTGACGTGTGTGGAAAGATTGGTCTGCAGCTAAATCTGACGAAGACGATGTTCATGAAAAACGGATGGGTTTTTGATGTTCCTTTTACGTTGAATGGAATGACGATCGCCGAATGCTCTAGCTACGTCTACCTAGGTCGGGAAGTCAACATGATGAACGATCTAGCCCCGGAACTGAGCAGGAGGAAACGAGCAGCATGGGAAGCATACAAGGCAATTGAGGACGTAGTGAAGAAGACCAAGAACACCTGGCTCCGCGCCCATCTCTTCAACACGACGGTTCTGCCTGCTTTGATGTACGCTTCAGAAACGTGGACCATGAGGAAGCAGGACGAACATGCGGTGAGCGTCATCGAACGCGCTGTTGAGAGAGCGATGTTAGGAGTGTCCCGACTCGCGCAAGTGAGAAAAGGATTGCGAAGCTCCACCCTACGTCAACGGTCGATAATCAGGGATGCTGCCGCATACGCTAAACAAAATAGAATCAGATGGGCCGGACACGTGATGCGTCTTGACGACAATCAGTGGACCAGAGCTGTAACAGATTGGACACTGCTGGACGTCAAACGCAGAACAGGAAGGCCGCCGACTCGATGGTCGGACATGTTCACGAACCTTTAAAGCAGTCCTTCAGAGCGTTCCTCGTGTACCTGGTGCGATGAAAAGACATTGGTCAACGATCGCTCGCTCGCTGAAAGCAGCGTAAAGCAGTCAGCCGTAATAAAGTTATTTACAATCCTGATGACAGGCTGAAGAAGAATATAGCAGTGATCAACATTATGCCAAGATTCATAAACGACCAAGTTTGGAGCATTAACAATTACCACCCTTTTACTGCACGAAAACGTATCTCTTTACGGTTACGGTAGGTGTATGGTGGGGATCAAATTCACAAACATTTCTGAAGCCTCCCAGGGGGGCTATTAGTATGGAACATGTATTTCACATTGCTTTCGTGGGTAGTGCCTTTTTTTCGGGTTAGCTTGGGCTACGGTAGCTGAATCAAAATTCAAAACCTGCTCAAAAGTTTTCCTACAGGGGTTCTTGAGCATGCTGCTCACAAACATCACACTCTTTTGCTTCTAGGATCGCGGAGTCAAGGTAGGTGTACGGTATGGGGCAAAGTATGGAATTCGGCTAAGTTGTGTTTGAAGGTTATCGGGTTTTTGGTCATTTATGCGCTGTAACTACCATAACACCACGATAAGGTGTTGTTGCGGCGAGCGATCATGATGTCTGTAGTCAATATGGTTAGGAAACCCTTTAAAGGCAGTGTCTCACCATATTTAGAGTATACCAGATTTTCACGAATTTTATTGGGGGATCCCCTTACTAGGCCAATGCCCAAATCCCACTCTAAAAGGCCTTTCCTAAATCGAGTAAATTCGGCTCAAAGTGGCTCGCGGAGCGCATTTCGGCTCGCGCTGGATGAATTCTCCGTTCCTCTCTATCGCGTTTCAACACGTCTTTCCAGGCGACGCCATCCTTCTTGACGTGTTCATTCTCGTGACCAGAACTGGAGTGAAGTGGAAAAGCTCGTCCGCGTCGCTTCTAAGGGGTTTCGAAAAACGGGGTTTCCGGAGTTTTTGCGCAAATTAGAGCCCGTTTAGGGTTCCACAAGGTCGAGAAGACTTGTGATTTGCAAAAATCCCGAGATCCAAATTCTAGTGAGACACTGCCTTTAAGCAAGAAGCCAAAAATTCCAACCACTCACCATATGCCCACTCCCAAGAGAGACGCTATTGCGAATTAATGCTTTACACGTTCAGCTTGCCACCCCCCCCCCCTCCCCCTCGCGAAGTTTCATGAAAGTCTGTGAACTTAATCCCTACCCTATATTCAAAGTAAGTAATCGTACAGCGAGACATTGTCGTGCGGTAAATGTGTGATATTGATCAGCGTGTCGGCTAATTCCCATCCAAATTAGTGATCTTAACCTATATCTACCGTAACCCTACAAAAAAGTCTTTTACATGCAAGTAAGCATTATTCTCCTGATCAATGTCAACCCCTATGTGCAAAGCTTAACAAAATTCCAGATTCTTTGTTCTTAGGTCGTGTATCCTGAATTGGTACGAAAATTACCAGGTGCTATTTCACGAGGTGGAATTGCGTCGAAGAAGACAAGCGCCACACCAGGAACCTCTACGCCAGAAGCCTTTTTTTTTTGTAAAACTACGCAGCTTACGGTACAAAAGTGTCAAGTATCCAGTGTGCAACAAAGTCCATGCAAGGTCCATTCGTTTACGCGCTATAAGGCTACTGTTCGCGCCGCAGCTACCATGCAAAAATTGCGCGAAATCCAATGCTGCACCAAATACTTTTGGAAAACTGCCGATTTTATAAGTAAACATGTTTCTTGCAAGTTTTAATTGTCGTCCTTGGAGCGTTCTGCACAGCTGTTTTGTGTTTTTCAGGCCATCCCTTCAGAACTATACATAGTCGAAAACTCTTTTTGCTTGTTTTAGTACACGTGCGAGCAGATTTGTCTCTCACTTTTGTACCCCTCGAGCTCGCGTACCTTTTTATATCACCTCAGTTACCTAGTTTGTAGATTTCTGCGTTATGTATAGTGTATCTTTTCTAGCCAGTCTAGCAGTCTATCAATGTCTTTTCTAGCAGTTTCTTAACCCGTTGTCAGTTAATTTCCATTTGCCTTTTTCAGGAACGCTGTTATCTCGTCGCGTGCTCTTCCTGGGAAAGCAGGTAACTACAAACACCTACACAGTATTTTCACATTTTTGATTTGAATGCTGAGCATAAAATGCTGATGATTCCGAGGCACAGGGCCTTACAGAGCTGTGATAAGTGCAGCAGAGAAATTTGGGTCTTATAGAGCCCTACCTTGACGATTTGGGGCATGTTGAAAATGTGAAAATGAAGTACATTCCTGTGCTGCAGGGTTATATTGTGCAAATTAATTATTTGGACATACATTTTGCCTCTCTGCAGTTTTATTCATGAAGAACTGCCTCAGTCGAGAATTTCTCGTTTTCAGCTGTGTGAGCTTAGACAAGTTTCGTGTAGGCTGTTAATAATGCCGGCGAAGGAAAACATCGCGAAGCAAGTGGAGTGGACTGCGGGCACAAGGTGTTATATTTTTACTTACTTGAATTTGAAAGTTTTGATTCTGCCTAATTTCGTACATTATCCAGGGTGCCCTACCTGGAGCTTGCCAACGTGCTCAGCAATATAGAAGGGGAATCGAAGAGGTAAGTTACAAGATCATGGATTGACTAGGGTGTATGAGCTTGCATGCTGAATTTATGTGATTTTCAACTTATTTGAGACTGAGAATTATCGATGAACTGGCTGGATTTTATTCCAAAGTAATAGAGTATTCACCGGATGATTTGCTAGCCTGCGTTTACTTGTGTGTGAATCAACTTGGACCGGCCTACGAAGGAATTGAGCTGGGAATTGCTGAACACACCATAATAAAGGTGCGTGCCACTTATTATCAAATGTGGTAATTTCCGGGTGAAATATTTCTGTATCTAAATTCAGGCGGTCGCACAGGCCACAGGCCGAACTGTAGATAAAATTAAGGAGGAGATGCAGAAGAAGGGTGATTTGGGTGAGCTTTTTTTCAAATCAAATTAATTTTCACTTATATGGTCTACAATAGCCGAACATAAGTCATGTGCTAGTAATTCCATGATTCTTACAACTTTTGATTCGTTGATACTTTGTCCAGCAGTGTTGTGTTGTAATCCAGTTGAGCATGTTTTGCTCAGAATTTGCTCGCAACCTATCTCCCAACGCTTTTACGCCAGTTATTTGCTGCTGTGGATTACAGTTTTCTGAAAGATTTTGATAAGACGAGGCAGAATAATGCGCTTAACGCGAGCATAACAGAGCATTTTTGAGCAGTAAACTGATGGTTACTTTTGATAGAAAATGTAGCACAAAAGGAAAGAAAGCGAGAATAAAACAGAAACTGTGAAACTGCTTTATCAAAATTTTGTCTATGGCGGGAACTTCAAGTGAGTGTTCTGTGGGTACGATGTGGACTTGCTCCCTATAGAGGACATCTGTCAGCAGTTCTCTGCGGATTAGGAAACACTGCAGCTTTTCATGAGCCCCTGGAAGGCGTCAGGGATATATTTAACATCGTTTGCGACATTTTACTGATTTACCGCTGTACGCGCGTTGTCACGGAGTTTTGAGAAGGTTGGTCGGAATAAACTCAGTTTCGGCCGAAATGGTATTGAAGTGAATGAAGTGTCTTTGGAAAAGCATGTACACCCCAAGTCACACTTACTATCTTCTTAAGCGATGTACCATGCATGAAACCCCATAATTCGCTCTAAGTTGCCTGCGCCCGTTTAGTCGCAACGATACCAATCTGCATTATGCAGTGTGTTGCACTCGTAGTAATCGTAGTACTTGTCTACATCGTCTTGCTCACCTAGTGAAACCTTTTTTTTTTCAGGCATTATTGCACAACAATCTCGACAAAATCAAAGCTCATTATGCAAAGCTTTTGGGTTTACTCCTAAGCCGCATACGGTACAGTCTGTGTTTGCCAAACTGACAGATATCGCGAAACTTACCGGAGCAGCGGTAAGAAATCTTACTATTTATTGGAAGTAGGTGATGGTCACTGTTCCAGTCAATGAACAAAAAAGTGGAGCTGATCAAGGGCCTCATAGTCGCATGTCGGGGAGCAGAGGCCAGATATCTTGTTCGTTCACTTGAAGGAAAGCTTCGCATTGGTCTTGCTGAGCAAAGCGTGTTGGTGGCTCTCGCCAATGCTTTCACGAAAGAACACATTAAGAAGAAAGGTAATTACTACCTGATTGACTAACTCGTACGCTCACTTAACTTTTATGTGTCAACATGGTTGATTTGAGGACTGAAGCTCTCATCGTCTGCTACAGACGTCCTCAAAAGTGAGCATGTCTTGCTCATGAAGACCACTTACTGGTGATAACTTACACTATTTACTATTTTTTATCTGAGTCATTTACTTCAGCCAATGTCCAAACTACGGAAAGATAATCCCGATTGCACTTTCGGAAGGCATCGAGAATATAACCGAGAAGTGCAAGTTGACTCCAGGTTTGACTTTGGCATTGTTGTTGACCTAAGTTTACGAGATGAGTTCAGGCATCCCGTTGAAACCTATGCTTGCCCATCCTACAAAAGGCATTGGCGAGATAATGAGACGTTTTGGGGAGGCGGTGTTTGCATGCGAATGGAAATACGACGGCGAAAGGGGGCAGGTTTGTGTGCCTTCTGTTTAAAATCTTGTTTTCTATCATGTCTTACCACCTCTAAACTTATCATGTCTTGTCATGCTAAGCTCTTCGTATTTCGATTATGCACTTGCAGATTCACATGGAGGAATCTGGTAAAATTCATATATACAGCCGCAACCAAGAGGACAATACCTCGAAATTTCCAGATGTTATCGAGAAGGTGTCATTGACAGTCAATCATACTGCATCTGCACTGCATGTAAACGTTTAGGTGAAAGAATGCATAGGCCCCAGTGTTACATCTTTCATCGTTGATGCAGAGGTAGTAGCTTGGGATATGGATGCCAAATCCATACTGCCATTCCAAATTCTCACCACAAGGAAGCGGAAAGTTAGTTACTTCTTATCCAAATCTTCTGGTTTTTCAAACTTAATCTAAGTACAACACATATCTGGACAGAACTTTGCGAGACAGTTATTCACGATTTAGTAGTTTGTTTTTTGGCCTGTTAACCAAAAAAAGGTTGACGGTCTTGTGCGGACATATCTGTGACTGCTTGCACGTCATTCTACAATCCGTTTTCAGAATGCCGGTGCATCGGAAATAAAAGTCCAAGTTTGCGTTTTTTTATTCGATATATTGTATCTGAATAACGAGCCTCTGGTGACAAAATCATTTCGCGAAAGGCGAGAGATTCTGCGGAAGAACTTTATAGTGAGTTTCCGAAGTATCTGTGCAAGCACATACGTCAACAATTTGTATTCCAGGAGGTGGAGGGCCGGTTTGCTTTTGCTAAAAGCTTGGACTCTTCTGATACAGACGAGATAAATGTTTTCCTAGACGATGCCATCAAGGTAAGGGTTAGCATAAGCTGAAGCACTCATGTTGAAACAGCAAACGTCGGCACAGTTGTCAGTAGTTCACGCTGTTTTCTTTCGATTGCCATCTTTGAAAATCCTTTCATGACGATCTGCTCACTTCTAGGGCAACTGTGAGGGTTTGATGGTAAAAGCTCTTGACGAGCACGCCACATACGAAATAGCCAGAAGGTCACATAACTGGTTGAAGCTCAAGAAGGATTACCTTGAAGGAATCGGAGACACTTTGGACCTGGTAGTCATAGGGGCATATTATGGAACTGGTAAGTAAGCTTGAATTTTGATATATGGCTGTTTTTTCCTTTCTCAAGCTGCGTAGATCGCACTTTCAAAAGGCGTAAGGCAGCTTGTCTACATGATTGTTAGCTTTTGCATCTGTTGGATGGTATATCCACATAAGGTCCAGGCTTGCTTTCTTGTATTTTCTGTTTGCAGGAAAGCGAACTGGTGTCTATGGAGGATATCTTCTTGCCTGTTATGATCCTGACTCGGAAGAGTTTCAGAGTATATGCAAGGTATGGAGGGGTCTGTCTTTTTTCTTTGATCTTGTGGATCTTTGAGTCGATTATTTGAAAAGCGTTCGCTTCCGAATTAACTCATCGAAATCGTAAGTGTGTATTTTACTCTAATGCTGATCTTACCACAACAAGTTGCAATTTTTGTACTTTTATGCGCCAGAATTTTCGGTACCACAAATGTTGATTTGCAGATCGGTACTGGTTTCAGTGACGAGGACTTGAAAACGCAGTATGAACTTCTGCTGCCATATAAAGTCGATATGGTAAGGTCACTTGGTAAATTACTTTGTCATCGTAGTTGTTTTAGGCTCGTACCTATTATGCTTACGATGAATCGTTGAAGCCGGATGTGTGGTTTGACCCCAATATTGTGTTCGAGGTCTGTGTCAAAATAAATTTAACATCTCTTCACAAATGTCTAATAATGTTCAGGTTAAATGTGCTGATTTGTCCATATCTCCGCGTCATATGGCTGCGAAAGGACTTGTAGATAGTGAGAAAGGAATATCTCTCCGTTTTCCCCGTTTCCTCAGGATCAGGTAATGCTGACACCACACCTTTGATAAACAAGATTTGATATTTAAGGGAAGACAAAAAAGGAGAAGAAGCCACGACGTCGTCACAAGTAGCATCACTCTACAAGAATCAGGACCAAATTCGAAATCAGGCAGTCAAAACAGAAGAGGAAGAGGATGACGTTGAGTATTAACCGATTTGAAAGCTAATCAAGATTTCATTTTGGTAGGTGTTTGTGTGCCATTCAATCTCTCAAGTCGCCTTGTATCACATGTGCTGGCTCGTGCATGTATCCACTTTTTCTTTGAATTTAGCACTTACACGAGATCTCTTTACAGTTTACTGACGGTAGTCCCTGTGTACGGGCATATATCTCAATTTGTAAGTACGTTTTGTATCTTTCTTTGTACTTATTCAGAGACTAATATCAATCATTAGTTTCCTTGACATTTTATTTTCTATCTTTCATGATACAGACTCATCCAGTGTGCGTTTGCCCTTCATGACATCTTGGTAATAAAGGCGCTATGTCCTCATGTTGCTTGTCATGTTTTGTCCAGTGGTTGGGAATGTTTCTGAGGATGTGTGGTATGCATTTGCAAAAGTAAAGTGCCTTCTAGTCAAATGCTACTCATGGGTTCTTCTTTTATCATCAAAAGACTTTGCGAGAATAGGGTTCCGTAACCATATGGATATGCTGCGTTTACAGATGTCTTATTTGGAGTAAAGTAGAGGAACGCAACTTTATTCTATCAGTATTCGAAACCCCCTTTGGAAGCTTTACTGTTTTTACCAGTAGTGTATTTTATCAGTATTCGAAACCCCCCTTTGAAATTTACTGTTTTTACCAGTAGTGTATCTTTGTGCAAGGAACAAAGTAAGATGGGCATCTGCTATGTACCTCCCAGCGAAAATGGATTCGTTATAACTAGTAACTATTCTAAAAGTAAAAAGAATGTCCCAAAGTGCATTCCGTGAGGCTATTCATGTTACCTGCGATTGCGAAACGGCAGGCCCGTCCCGAGAGCTTATGCCTAAAAATACAAATAAATAAGGGATCAAGAACCATCTGTTATCTGTTTAAATATAAATGTCTGTTTGTCTGTATGTATGTACGTACGTTCCGAATAGAAAATTCTGTTTCTGAACCGATCCGGGCCAAACTTGGCACATACAACCTTTGATTCAACTGGCTTGGCTTCGGGAAGGCGGAGTATTGTGACGTAACTGAGGCCGCTCGCGGACGCGACGCACCTGCGTCTCCCTCGTTCGTGTGCTACCTGATCACTAGCTAGCCTCAATTGGATCACGAAGCCCTGCCTTCATGAAGCCAAGCCAGGTGAATCAAATGGTACATTTCGGGGCGGGGCAGGTGTCCTAGACTACTTCTCGTCATCGATCGATATCGACTTTATCGTTTTTTTTTGCAAAGTTTGAGCTACGGGATTGGGAGTTGGCGGGTGGAGGACTATATGTCGCCGAAAAAGGGCGGTCCCCGCGGTCATTTGCGACAAATACGCACCCTTGTACATGAGCGGTCGGCGACATATAGTCCTCCACCCGGAGTTGGCACGGGGGGGGGGGGGGGGTGGATTTAAGTGAGGATGCTGATTACGAATACGGCGACATATAGTCCTCCACCCGGAGTTGGCACGGGGGGGGGGGGTGGATTTAAGTGAGGATGCTGATTACGAATATATTGACAGGGTCGGATGGAGCCGGGTTGGTCACCTGATCTATAATATATTCATTTAGATACGAAAAAATCTCAGTTGTGCTTTTTTGATGGGTATTTTGGTTGTTTGGTCTAGCGAGCGTATCCATCATTGCACATTCTAGCAGACTTTCTGCTCAATATAGTAGTGTGCTTGCAGTGACGAGATTTGGAAGGTGGCTGCACGTCAGGAGGCACGCCGCGCGCGGCGGCCGCTCTTCCGCACACGCCGCGCTCAAATCTTGGGGTCTCCAAGACTCCCCGCCGATAGAGATTCCTGCGAACAGGGAGTGAAGCTGGGGGCAGATACATGACTTGATGCTATAAGTAAGACTGCGCCAGAAGTGCTCTGTTGTAAGAGGTGAAGTACGTTGCGGCGTCGCTTCGCGAAAAATTCGCGCCGATCGTACCTCCTGACCGTCTCCCTTGGAAGCAGGGTCAAGCGTGTGATGCGACTGTCGCAACGGGGGGTCGTAAAGGGGGCCTACGGTGAGGGGGGGTCTTAAGAGGGAGTAGTTTGGATAAAAAACCGTACGATCGAAAGCAAATCAAATAGCAAGTAGTTATTACATATTCTTAACATTAAATTCATGGAATGCCGTGTACCAATGTATCAAATAAAAAGGAGTGAACAATAATTTGAAAACATTTGCAAGCGTAGAAATTCGCTTCATTTGCTGCACTTTTAAAAGATTATGAGTTAGTTCTTTTTTTTATGGGAATCGCTATTTCTCCCGCAAATTATTGTCTCAAACGGGGATCGAACCCTGCTGGCATGACTAAAATCCAAATAATAAACACTTTCAGAAGCTCAAATGCTACTAAAGGCATGTATCTTATATATAAAGCTGAATGTCTGTTTGTCTGTCTGTATGTCTGTATGTCTGTCTGTCTGTACGTATGTTCCGAATAGAAAATTCCATTTCTGAACCGATCGGGACCAAACTTGGCACACATACAATTCGGGCCCCGGCGGGTGTCATAGGCTACTTTTCGTATCGATCGATATCGATTTTATCGATTTTTTGCAAAGTTTGAGCTACGGGGCTGGGATTTGGCACAGGGGGGTATTCGAGCATGCTGATCACCCCCGTGGGGGTGATCAGCATGCTCGATTACACCCCCTGCCAAATTCCAGCCCCCTAGCTCAAATTTTGCAAAAAAATAGATAAAATCGATAAAAGTAATGCACGGTTTCGAAAACTAATATTGTATTCGGAATCCCCATGCTCACTTACCCCCCTGTGCCAAATCCCAGCCCCCTAGCTCAAATTTTGCAAAAAATCGATAAAATCGACATCAATCGATAACGAAAAGTGGACTGTGACACCCGCCGGGGCCCGAAGTGTATGTGTGCCAAGTTTGGTTCGGATCGGTTAAGAAATGGAATTTTCTATTCGGAACATACGGCGGAGCCGGGTAAGCCAGCTAGTGTGTGATAAAGATGTTGGATGTACCGACTGGTGTAGACATCCTGCTTCCGAAAGCTCACTGAAGACTCGCACACTCAACAAAAGCGCACATGTAGATCAAAGATGATCATCAATAATTCGTAAATCTTTTTGTAATGCCATTTATGCGGCCCTTACAATTTATACGCACTTTAGATAAGCCCTGCTACTGCTGTGCGAAATTTGGTGTTATTTTATAAACTGTGGATTTTCTTATGATTTTATGTATGGTAGCAAAAAATGAGAAAAGGGGGTCGTATCTGCGCCTGATCTAAACTTCTCCGGAGCTATTGAAGCTTGTTAGCTGCAAACTTGCTGTAATACGAGGCCATCCCTCTAGTTTTTATCATAAGAATTCCAGGCTGTTTTATAACTTCTCTGGTAAGTTGCAAAATTTTAAGCTCAAAAATCCCAGTTTTTGCTTTTTAGGATCGCATCTAAATGTGCGAGAGCCTGATCTAAATTTTTTCGAGCTCACTGCTCCTCAAAGGCTGAAACTTTTTCTTTGAATAGTCTGGGCACTACGCTACAGAACCTGTTCTTTGCAGCCTCTCAGTCTTTTTCTGGCCTTAGTTACAAATTTTCAAACTACCGTGCTCATGCATGTTTTTGACGTCGTTCTGGGCGGCGCTAAAGCAGTTTTTTTTCGCGGAAAAAACTGTGGAAGAGGTAAGAACTGAGCTTCTTAGTCGAAAACATCTTTTGCAGTTCAAGAATGTCATCTAGTTCTCCGTGCAAAGATTTGTGTCGCATACGGGAACCGAATTTGCTGGCCTGAAGTATGTCTGAAAATTCAAAAGTAAACTTGCAATCTCAAACATTATTGTAGGTGTGTATATGTGCTAGAGATGCTGGGCGCACCCATTGGCCTAGAAATTCTGCTTCCGAAACCTCAATGAAGTTCTCACGCAGGTGTTTTTTGAGATTGACATTCGTTTATGCAGGTTACCGCGAGAAATGTGGGCAGGGGAGGTAAGGAGGATAGATGGGGGAGGGGGAAGGAGGGGAAGGGGGGGGGGGGTCGTACGGATGGGTACCTTCAATGGGGGGGGCCTTAAATGAGGGTCCAGGATCGCATCAACATGCTTGACCCTGCTTGGAAGGTAATTCGTTGCGCGTGAACGATCAACTGCGCCAGTAATGCCAGAATCTTGGCGCGCAAGTGGCCGGCATCATAGGCATAGCTATTGTTCAGGCGCAAATATTACCACAAACTGTCGGCTCAGCAAGCACGCTGTATCGAGCGGATAATCTACTACAGAGCTTATCAAATGCAGTGTCGGGTGCGCGGCTGCGTCGCCTGGACTCTGCGCCTCTTTCGCGAACATGCTTTCTGATCATCCCAACGCGAGCGTGGGAAATGCGGAGCCTCAATTGAAGCAAATGATTGGAGAGCATGTTCCGCGAAGAGTTGCAGAGTCCAGCGCGAGAGCGGGAATGCTGCTGCACGACACTGCAAGATAAGCCCTGTAGACTGTATTTCCAAGAGTGGATGGTTGCAGTGCTATATCCCTTGACCACATAATCACGATGGAATATTCTCATCTCTTTATTGATGTTTTGTAGGTGTTTTTTCGTTCTCGTTGCACTATATCTTGAAGCATAAGTTTCTTTGAGGAAGCTAGCTCAATGGCAGTGTCCAGGCTAAATCTAATCCCCTCCGATTAGTGCCGATCCTGAATGTGGGTTCCATGAGATGAGCATCTGCGTTGGTCCAGTCCTCTAATGTTGTCTCTGTATAGAGATAATGGACCTGCAACAGCGAAAGTGCTATCAACCCACCCTGGGGCGCTCGTTACTTGTAGGCTGCAATTAGAAATGGTCGCGACGTGGCGTTACAATAACCCGCGGGAGCAGTAGGGCAGGAAACTTGTCCATATTTGTGCATCTTAGGCATTATAGATTTCTGTTTCTTGTATGGAGAATCTGATTTGCTTCCTTTTTTTCCTCGAAGATCGCAGAATTCGAAACTGCTCGTCTAAAAACGAACCGTGATGACCAAAAGTTCTCCGAAGTGCATCTCAGTGTAGTTTATCTACGATGGAACATATTTCAGACTCTTACGAAATGACCACTTATTAATGTATGTTTTTCCTGTATTCTGAGAGGTTCTTGTACAGGTTTTGTGGTCAAACTTCAAATAAGTAGCATAAACAGATACAAAGAGTCTGTAACCTCAAGAGCATGAAAATGTCATTGCGAGTTATGCTGGCCAGGTTCTACTTACTGCCAACCTGCCGCGCCTGCGTCATTGACACTCACAAGTAACGATATGCGCGCCACGCCTATAATAAATTTCAACTCACAAGGGAACCGTGTCGAGTCGAAGTGGCCTTTCCAGGTGAGACCCATACTGCTTTGAAGAGTATTAAGCGGTGATTCCAAATCTGCCTTCCAAATCTGCCAAGCGCCTCTGGACGCCGAGTTATGACCCTTCTACGGAACGAAAAATGAATGCAGAATTTAGGTAAAATTGATTGTTACAAATTTTCCAGCGCTCAGATAAAGCAATATTAAGTATTAGCATATAAAATAAAATGTATCCATTGCATAAACAGCTCTGGTACTTGACACTGAACCATTTGAGCAAATTCGGGCGATTTTGCTTCAGTTTTGCGTTCAATTTTTTGACCTGAAAAACGAGCATAACTCGGCGTCCAGAGGCGATTGGCAGATTTGGAAAGCAGATTTGGAATCATCGATTAATGCTCTTCAAAGCAGTGTGGGTCTCATCTGGAAAGGCCACTTCGACTCGACACGGTTCCCTTGTCAGTTTAGGCGGAAATTAAACTGGCGGGAGTCCGCTTTGCAACGATTCGCGCCGCTTTGCAGTTTGCGTCTCCTCATTCTAATCTATTTCGCTAAGCCAGAGGCGGTACGTACGGCTGCTCCACATGGAATGTTTTGCCTACTCCGGATTGAAATAGACTGTAGATCCTATCAAGCCCCGCTCAGGCAGATACTGCCTTCTGACACGTATTGACGTGGTAGTGAGCAGAAGCTGCACGCTGCTGCAACTGCAGCCACTCAATTGCCGCTTCTCCCCGCTGGCATGCGACGGGGGCGAGCAATCCGAAACTCGTCCACGCCCTCGAGACTGGGTCCCCAGAAATCGGACTTTTTGAGGGTTTTGCACAACTTGAACTTCATTACTGTAATCGGGGCCACGGAAAAGCCTCAGAATGATAAAAACATCGAAGGCGAAGTTTTGAACGGACGCTGCCTTTAAGATAGGCAGTTTCTCATTGAGATGTAGAAATCGTGTGCGCGGTCCCACTCAACTTAGTGCGGCCATACTTATTTGATACATAAAGTTTGTTTACATGGGTTATAAAAATGTGCGAATGACTTCTTTATTCTTGTAAATGATTGAAATAAATTAGAAATTTTTGAAAAATTTAAAATAGCTTTATTAAAGTGCGTTTTTTCGCGTGTTAAGGTTGTTGACCTTCATTTGCACAAAATTTTGCCCCCGCCCCCCCCCCTCCCCTCCCCTGGACGGAAATCTCTGAGCGCCACTGATATCGCGACATCAAAATGCGACGAACTCTCAATCGCTACGGCCGCGACTTTCAAAGACAGAGGCTCGGGAAAATTACGACTGCAAACTTTTCATCCTCTTGGCCTTCTGCTGCGCTGAGTCCAGGGCTGTGCTTGAAATCTCTCAAAGCTGTCAAGAAAGTGCTTTTTATGGCGACTGCCGGCCACGAAGATTGCAGTAGAGAAGCAGAAACAACAAAATGACGACTGGCTGCATGAAACTGTAGGGGTGGAGTCACTCCACCCATTTTGGCAGCAACTGGCTGGTTAACTAAGACAGCCAATCGCGCCTTATTCGGCCGGAGTCGCTCATCCAGCCTCTCCAGCAATCTTTGAGGCCGGAAAAACGCCATAAAAAGCACTTTTTTTTTTGAAGGGAGGCAGCCGTACAAGCGTGAGTCAAAGGCAGTGGCTCGGGAAATTGCAGCTGTTTTTTAGCCCTCCTGGGTGCGCTGGGTGTGATTGGAATCTCTCGAACAAGTGTTTTCTATGGCGTTTTCCGGCTTTGAATATTGTTGAGGAGGCTGGAGCGGAGAATCCCGCCAAAAGCAGTGACTGGCTGCAGGAGACTGTAACACTACTTATTTGGCGGTGATTGGCTAATTGGCCCAGGCAATCACAACTTGGCTGCGGGAATCTTCGCTAAAACTCCTCAGCAACTTCCAAGGCCGGAAAACGCCATAAAAAGCACTTTTATGTTTTTTCAAGCTCAGCTCTGGTCTAAGCGCATCCAGAAGGCCAAGGAGAAGCAGAAATCGCGCAGTTGCTATTCTTGCGAGCACTGCCTTTAACAAGTATCGAATGCCCTCGTAAGCAAATGAGCTACTAGAAATTGCTTGTGAAACTCGACTTGCTTTTGCAGAGACAGTACAGACAAACTGGTTTATGTGCAGCTGTCCATCCACCAAGCTCTGGAGATAGTACAGTCCGTAGTGTAGTGAGTGTGACGAATCTTTGCAACCCCGAGCATATGCTGCTGTTATAGGCGTAATGGAACAAAATGATGTAAAAAATCACCAGCTATTCTTCTGTGAAACCATTGAATTTTACTCGCTTCCTGCTGCAATGCGTTTTTTTTATCAGAACCGTTTTTGGTGGGAAGGATACCTTTTCAGTGTACTTGTTGTCCCAAGTAAAGGACCGCTTGAAGTTGTAATCAAGTGTTTCGGGTTTCAAATGTTTCTTCTAGACAATGTACAACTTTATTGGGTGATAAGTCAGCCCTCGTCGAATCCAAATGCAGGTACTGGTCCAACTCAAACATGATTAGAGAGTAAAAGTGAAATTCATAAATCGTCATCTTGCGTCAGATAATTATTCAGGCAAATCTCAAATTGCTCATAGCGAGTTGTGGCATAGCTGAAAAAATAAGGTAGGATTTGGATCGTTTTATGCATGTTCGGGCCTACCTGGCGTAATCGAAATCAAGCGTTGAGTTTTGCGCTTGCACTAAAGCCCACGCCGACCATAGGAGGTGAGCGGACTGCAATCAGTATACGGTAGTTTTGTGAAGGCAGTGTCCAGGCAAAAAGTCGAGTTCGAGATTTTGTGCTTCGGACCTATTCGCTATGCCGAATCCTAAAATCTACAGTGCAAAACAGGGAAATCAGCAGATGGGCGGGGTCTTCCCACTGTATCACGCTATTAGCTTCCGAAACGAACTTTTCGATTCCGCTAGCCGCCCTGACATAGCCACCGGCCAAGTGCGCTCGTGTATTGAAGTCGCAACCGAGAAGTCGCTCCGGAAGCTGGGAGCGCGAATTCACAGCGGGGTAGACCCCGCCCACCTGCTGTTTCCACTTCTGCGTCAGAGCGTTTTACAGCCATTTCGCGCTCTCCAGTGTGGACTTTCGGATTCAGCATAGCGAAGGGGCCCGGGTAAGCATAAAACCTCAAAATCGACTTTTTTCCCGGACACTACCTTTAAAGAGGCGGGGCGGGGGGAGGAGAGAGAGAGAGAGAGAGAGAGAGAGAGAAAGAGAAAGCTCTGTCCCTAAGAAACGGAGAAATTTTTCAAGGTGGTCTTCCTGATTAACAGTATCTCAAAAATTGTTTCGTATGACGTAGCTGCGAGGCAACCGTAAGGCGCGGGTTTTTCCCAACTATTTTCAAGAAAGACATAAAAAGTGCCAAAGCTAGTCTAGACACATTTGGAATACCAGACAAAATGACTGGGGGCCGGACAGCTGATACTACTACACCTGCTAAATTTCTGACTTTTACTGCACTTTTAAGGGATATGCCTCTTGATTGGCTGCCAGATCCTCTCAGAATATGACCCAATGCCCTCATCATTCCATATTAGGTTTCAGAATTGAGCTGTTGAAACCTTTGACTAACGTCAAAAATCCAGCATGCGAACACCGCTTCTTTTACAAACAGTCCTAGCCAAACTGAAACATAAAAAATGAGGTAAACCACGTACCGCCTGAAATAGTGAGACGCGGTCCAACATTCTTGCTAATATAGTTTCGTCCACATGACCATGCCTGGCTTCCAAGTAAAATTGTAAAAATATGCGCATCTCTTCACGGTCTGGGCAGAGTTTGTAATCCGGATTCTCAACTCCTGAACATTGCCCTTATCATTTATCGAGTGCGCGTACTTGGGGGATTGGTTCCTGAGGTTTTGCTGTCGCGCAGTGAGTTGTTCTTTCCGCTCCACATGTGGGAAAAGGTGCAGAGCGTTATCTTTCATTTGCCCTATTCTGACGTATTGGTGCTATGACTGATGCAGTTCAACTGTCTCTTATGCCGTTTCCACTACTGGCAATGTACTTTTCCTTCGCAGGAGTGCATAGAATTGAGTTCTATTTTGACTTGTGAGATAAGTATGATGAAAAGCGCCAAGATAGTACCTGCAAATTCGCAGAAGTGGTTGGCTATATCGAAGAGGGTATAGTTGAAATCCGCGTACTCGTAGTCGATAAACATCACTTTTTCTGCAACAAATACATGCTTGTAAGGATCTGGAGTCCTTTACTTGAGTAAGCTTTTTTGGATACGGTATAACATTGTCTGCAGCAAAAAATCGTAATTATTCTTTACGAAACGTTTGTTTCGCTAACAAATGATGGCCATGACTTGCTAAGTTTCAGGAGATATTGCAGACACCACAGTGTCAAAATTCAGTTTTCTTGTGCTAAAATTTCGAAACTTCATCCATCGGATACGAAGAGAAAGTGGAAGGCAAGGAGGTAAGAAGGAGTAATTCAGAATTTCTCTCTGTTTCCTTTCGATTTATGATCAGAAGTTGGGAGGCAACCGGTTATATGAAAACAGATTGAATGCGCACCTGATTCCTCCTCGAAAACTATGTTGTGTGAGAGCAAGTCGTTATGGCAGAAAGTGATCTCCTCGTTTAGAGGAGCAATGAGATTGTACAATTCGTTCAGGTTGGCTGGCAATTGTTGAGCAAAACTGGGAAGATCCTGAAAAGCGGAACGTAAACATATTCGACAATTAGTTTGTTGTTGAAGGATGGTCGAACAGCGAACCTCCCTGCTCATGTCGATGTTTCTGATGAAATCCTTAGTCTTCCGAAAGAGGAACACGTCGCTAGTATTTACAAAAATTGAGTTCAGGCTGTGAAAAGCGGCCATCGTCTCACAAATTTTTCTGAACAGAAAGGTTGATGGTGCTTAGAGTGTATATTTCCTTACCTCTGTACATCCAAGTTTCTCAGTTGCTTTGCCTTGAGAGTATCTCCTGGTAGGAAACCGCACAAAATTCCATTGTTGAACGTCGCATACACAGGCGCTGCCAGACCGTTGTTCGCAAGATTTTCCATGGCGTTCAGTTCTCTATCTCTAAATAGCGATTACATTAGCACCTATTGGCTGGACTACATATTGAAAGCCAGGAGATGGGTGTGAACTCACCTGTCTATGAAATTCTCTGTATTCTTGCCAAAAATCCGAAAGACAACCTTTTCTTTCGAATTTGCATTTGCACAGGCAGCCATTATTTTATTCGTTATTCCCGCTGTGTATACCTAGAAAGAAACCATACTTGCAGGATACAGCGATTTTTCACATTTTCATGATGACTAACTTCGAAGCAGATTTTTGAGGGGTCCCACTGTGGTCGAATAATCTTCAGAAGTTTTCGAGCAGAAGCTTCACAGTGCTGTTGATCAGTGATCGACAAGTCAATATTTACAAAGGGAATATCCATAACTACTTAATCTGGAAGCATGCGAATTTTTAAATTGACAAACTACATCGGAACAAATCTTATTTTAAGATGTGCAGGAAAATCTACTTGCCATATCATTAAGCAATATCAATAATACACCTTCTGTTTTTTCGCACAAAGAATTATTCAAAAGTACATATTAGCTGTGCTCAGATGAAATCTTGCAAAATGTTCGATTCATGTCTTTAAAGTGGTAGTGAAGCGCAAGCATTGGTTCACTTGTCAGCAACTGCGAGACCAATTTTATTGTAGTCTAAAGTAGGTATCACCCTAATCAAATCACATCGTTTCAGGGGCATACCACTTTCTTTGAACCAAGATTTACATTGAACTTGACATCTCCAAGGATCTGCATGATTTTTTTGATTGGGGTGGATAACATGGGCTTTTCCACAAAAAAGTCAGATCTTTATTGACACTTTCCGGTAAGTTTTTTTGAAGGTGCCTGAGGACTTTTACACTCAGCTAATAGAAAAGTTTTAAAAGACAGTGAAGAGTTCAAATAGAAATAATCATGCGAAAAACTGACATTACTTTTACAAAACACCGGGATTTTGTTCTCATCATTTATGCATAGAATACTTGAGGTAGAGTCATTTCCTATTGTTACTTTTGTGACATAAACATGTCAATATTTTCAACAGAGAACTTGACGGCGAAGGTACAAAATTCCATGGTTTTCTTATATTCTGATAGTGATTTTAACTATTACCTATAACAATGGATCTAAAGACATAATTAATTCTGTCAAATGCGCTGCGTTTTTGTCCAAATCTTCAGATCTACGCATGACAGCTCCGCTGCAACATTGCTAAAATAGCTAACTGACAAAAAACATCAAACTTAGGACAGACTCTTGCCCAGATATGCAAAATCTAGAACGGTCACTATGCGGGAAAGATCTGGGTGGATTTTGTTTCTGTTTTTTCATGGTGAGAACAGAAGCACGACGAAGCGTAAACTCATTGTATGAGTCGGTCCAATGCTCTGAATAGTGGACTACACGATCAAGCTATGAGAGAATTGTGCTTAGGCGGATAAAGCGTTTGGATGATGAAAGAATTGGAAATGAGTACTTTCCAGGCGAAGGAGCTGCAATACCGGCCAGCTCCGAGACCAAGCAATTGATAATCCTATCAACGCAAGAGGTTATCGACTATTAGTGGTGAGAACAAAGGGAATTCAAATTGACCGATTGATACTCGGCCTCGCTATCGCGAACAGGTTTGTAAAAGTAGTCTGTTCGGCGAAAAGTATCATGTAAAACATCGACTTTGACAAACAATCGTGTAAGAAATGCTTCAGCAAGTTTTGGGTGTTCTAGAAGGACGCCATTTTAATGTGAATCTCGTTTTTGCGCGTCGCACTCCTATAAACCCAACATTTTAACATCCTGATCACTTTGCGATGATATCATCGTTTCGACATATTCAGGTCTCACACATTCGGGCAATCGCTCCTTGCGCATGACTTCGAACCTCAGCATTTTACTGGATTTAATGTTTTTGCGCGAGCTTCAATGCGCGCAACATTCGAAACTGATCTCTTCATGAAACTCTCTCAGCTATTGTTCAGTGAGAGGCTTCACTTTAGGAACACATCACTTTCTTCGAACATTTCAGTGACTTTTGAGCAAACCTTTTGATATACCATTGCAAAAACATAGATGCTTTGTATTTGGGATATAATAAACAAAAAAACTATAATACGGCTTTGCAAGGCGACACCATAAAAGATCGATTGAAGCGATACGCCCAATGAATCAAACAAAGCAATAACATCTCGTAATAATGTACAACAGTGTTTATGCGTGGTTCAAAATACTGAAGGCGTGTCAAAAAAAGTTGAAGAGAAACCAGTTGGCACTATTGAAAGATCATTTCTGGACCTTCGGTTCAAACCAATCACTAACATCTGTGCATACATGCTTTTAAGAAGTTTGTTATGTGAAGAAGTTATGAGTAGATGTATGCGGTTACGTACATAAAGCATGGAAATTAGAGTATGTGAAGTAAGAAATACTAAACTTCCCTCATTGCAGTGCAACTTGACTGCAGATCAATATGAGATATAGACAAACGTCAAACAATTGCGGAAACCACGACAGTAAGACGAGAACCATAGCTTGATATCAAAATTTCACAACCCAGCTTGAGCAAAGTTTCGAATCAAAGGCTTACAATCCCATTTATACGTGAAGATAACATGGAATTATCGTCATGGGTAAGTTCAGCTATACCGTACCCAGCTGTATCAGAAGAAGAGATTAAGACGTGAATTTTTCTTTGAAAAAGTTCATTTCGTCAAACTATAATTTCCTCGAAAGGAAGAGCATGTTTTGAGCCTGTTTTACAGTAAAAAGCTTCCTGCAGCTCTAGCATCATTTATTTATGATACCAAAAGAGGTTTTTACAGGTAGTGTTACAAGAATGTTTTGAGTTGTAAATTGGCTGCTGCAGTTTTCAAGTTCGAGCACGACTTCATCGATATGGCGATTGTTAGAATATTCTGAGCTGAAACGCCAAGTTTGAGGTGCTCTATTCGAATGGAAAAACTGGGAGTGAGTTTGCTTTCGAGGCAACCCTATAACAAAGAAGAGCATGAATAGAGATTTGAAAAAGCTTTTGAAGTTAGTAGCAATGAACAGTTTCTAAGGTGACCATAATAGCACCCTACCACGGAAACAAACACACATCTTATTATTCCTAATCTATTGCTTGTGCCTGTATTAGATTATTAAAATATTTGTGATGGAAATATGCTTGTTTGAATATTTCATTATACAGCATATCTCTTATAAGCACCTTACGTCAACGGCTTGCGGGGCAAGCTGGACAACATTTTGGAATAAAAAGCAAGGGGATATCGTTTAAGCGGAAAGCGTAGCCCCCGCGCACAATCTGTTTTGGTTCAGTAGGTGGTCTCGCATTACCTCAAACTTGGGTAATTGAACTTTATCCTTGGATCTTTAAATAACCTGTGGCCGTATTCATCAACGAACCTTGAGGGTTAAGCTTACCCTCCAGGGTTAGTTTAACCCTCAGGGTTCATTAGCCGTATTCATCAACCATAGGGTAGGGTTTAACACGGAACGCGATCTAACCGTATCGATCAACGAACCTGTGGCCGTATTCATCAACCCTGAGGGTTAAACTAACCCTGGAGGGTTAAGGCGTCAGTTACGCGTGCGCTGTGCAAACTCACATCACAGAATGCCTAAGTACGTGCTAAATTCACTTTATACTTCTATTCTTTCACTGTTATAGTATATTCAACAAATAAGCTTCTAACACTAGTTTTTATAATACAACTCTAGCATGTTTGTGCAGCATCCAGTCTTACAGCGTGAGTTTATTTTCATGTGTGCAATTGTGCAGTTAAGTTCTACTTTTGCGCAGTTCGTTTTATACCGGGCTTGTGCCACTCTTTTAGGGGTCAGTGCGTGTTATTATAAAGGGGTTCTTCTGCTTTGGCACTTGTCAGAGTGGAATGCCATTTTTCCTCGTCGCATTCATTTGTTACCAAAGCTAGAATTCTTTTTCTCGCGAAGTCAGTGTTTCATGTACTTCGAATATGAACATAAAACGAAGTCGAAACCAAATACTATAACAACAACCAATACTAAATACTACAATACTCGTTGATCGTTTTCCATAAATTATTAGATGCGAGTAAATGTTTGTATGAAGTGTTAGGGTAGAGTTAACCTTGCTCTGAGCTAGGGTTAAATTAACCCTGATGAATCACTTAAGTTTAACCCTCCAGGGTTAGTTTAACCCTCACGGTTCGTTGATGAATACGGGTTAGTCGCTTTCGGGGTAAAATTAACCCTCAAGGTTAGATTTAACCCTCAGGGTTAAGCCTACCCTGTGTTTCATGAATACGGGTTAAACGCTTTCCAGGGCTAAACTAACCCTCCAGGGTTAGTTTAACCCTCGGGGTTCGTTAATGAATACGGCCACTGAACATGAACATGATGACAACAACAAACTAAACTACACTAAAACTACTACATTAAAAGATAAAAGAAAAGAATAATAAGAATGAATACTGAATTTGGTCTTGGCTAAACCTCTTTTATATAACAATATGTTTGGGAATGTGCTCGAAGGAATAGACGATGATTAAGCATAAGTAACAAATACATGTTTTGTCTTCGAAACCGATTAAATCTATCAACATATAACTTTCACAAGGTGATTAATGTTTAGGGAACGAAAAGCGTTTGCAAGTTTACAATCCCCTTCTCACTTTATGTCACTTTTCATTTTCTATAAAAGACGGCAAAGACCAAAAACTTTCTGTTTCAACAGCTTCGCCAGCTAAGCGCGCGAATTCAAACCTGCCCGAAATGAACAAAATAATTGTTTACAGCGAAGAGGAGATGAAATGACACCAAAACTGATGTGTAGATGGACAATAGGAAGTTAGGACTGGTACAAGAATTATGAAGAACTCATGTGAATTAAGGGCGTGTCAAACTTTCTTTGGATTTAGGTGGCTTTGCAGCCACCTGGACAGCCACTTGAGGGGCTGTGAAAAGAAAAAGTTATGGATTTTCCTTCCTTCACATAATTTTCTCACAATTTCAACATAACTTTGCTCTAGATCAAAAACCCTACAAATGAGTTATTGAATATCTCTAAATCCTCTCTTCCTCGCCTAGTTACAGCGCTACATATGTTTTGTATGGCGGCGGCAAGCCTGCTCCAAGCGCGCAAGGGTGCGCGCCGACGCAGCATGCCGCCAATTCGGAGAATCCGAACATCTTTAGTTTTCTTTTTCGTCTGTTCAATGTTTTATGTTTTGTTCCATTATTTTTCGTTATGCGTTTTGATCCATTCGCATCACAGGTGACGTCGTATTTTTGTGGCGATGTCTACGGGAACTTCGTTTTTGGAAAATTGGAAAAGGCACCACATGCTGAGCCCTGCCTGTAAGGTGTCACAAGTCAAAGCTGTAGTATGTGCATTTGTTTCCAGGCATGTTTGTTGAATGTTGAACGGCCAATTCAACTGGCCCTAATTTCGTTAAAATCCTGTCAGGGTTATATTGAGGGTTATATTATATCACTCTAGGAGTGTTTTCGTATTTTCTAACAAATTTGAGTGGTGGCAAATTCAGCAGAAAAGCAATAACAGAAAATCCGGGATGCATCCGATAGCATTGCTTCCGAGTGCTAATCATTTGAAACCAGAACTCTGAAGAGCGCCTTAACCGTGGAAAATCGCAGCGTGATTTACATAATTTTGTTCAGGTTTTCTTAGCGATATCACCTTGTTTCAAGATACTTGCTAAGCTGGCAGATAATCATGGGATAGAGTAAAACTTAGTCTTTTCGCTTTCTTAATGTTTCTCCCCGAGCAATTTTTGCGGGAATCCTGTTCTGGACACACTCGGGTGAAAAATGATCTCGGTAATTGAAAGCTTGCGAATTGCCCTTGCAGTGGTTCACAGAGTACCGTTCCAGCAAGTCGCTTGTGTCTTGCAGCTCATAAGTTGCATTACGACCCGGTTTTAGTGACTTCAGAAAATCCGATGAGTGGTCAAATTCAACAAGTTTTTTTTGTAAGAAAAGGGCAACCAAGCTGCCGGAATACATGTAAAGCGCGCATCCTCTTATACAAGTAAATCAAGTACCATGCTCATTTATTTTATAGAGATCTCTAAACGAGAAAAAAAAAAGAGCGAAGAGAACTTTCCGGTTGTAATACGAAATACTTAATTTATTGCCTTTGAAGTGGATTGACGTCAAATATGATACCGGAGACTGCCTTCTGTCAAACATAATCAGCATGTAAAAACCATTCGCATTAATATGTACGTTTTCCACTGTTTGGCAATCCTACTGACCATACGTTTCAAAGCTCACAGACAGACAAAGATATAGTTTTGAACCTTCTTCCTTTTTATAAAACGAAGGTTATCCAAGTGAAGATCCTTATTTCCAGTCATAATTTATAGGTAGAAGAAGCTGATGTGATCTGGAATGCAGCTTTTCAATTATAAACACACTTGTTTCACTCTTCGTGCTTCTGACTGCGGCGTTGTCTACGCTATACTCTCTACTTCGTGTAGGAGTACCTGAGCACGGCAAAGTAATGTATAGACAAAAGACGTCGACTTTCCCCATAACTATGTAGATTGTCTGGAGCAGGTCACATAGATTATGGAGCCTTCCGGATTCGTTCTGTCGCAAAATTGTCGATGGACTATCATCGTACGAGTTTTCTGAGCAAAATCAATCATAAGATCTTTTACCAATTTGGACTTGAGTAGCTGTCAAAATTTGTCTAAACTGTATAAGTGCAGACGTACGAAAATAACCAGTCAGTCGAAAGATAAAAATTTCCATTTTAACTACATTAGAAAAACTTAATGGATGTCGTAGAGACTTTCGACCTGATTGGAACAAAAGAGTCAATGAGTGAGACTTGGATCATAACTGGGGAAGAGATGACGACAACTGATTCAGTTCTTAATACATTTGAAGAGCGTACGCATTGAATTTATCAAAGTAAAACTTCGACTAACTTTTCCCGTCGAAACGCCGCTAAATATGCGTGATTTGATTGAGCTGTAGACAAATTTTTCGTAGTAGGATATTTCCCTACTTCATCTCGATACCCAGAAATAGAGAACAGAAATACCCTTCATTACTTTACGAAACTGTCGATCTTACAGTGATCTCAGAGACTGCTGGAGAAAAACCGACACGTCAGCGAGAAACTGCAATTGTTTGAGGGGTGCCTGCGTGTCCAACTCGATATCGCTAATTAAGGCCTTTGCTTGATATAGCTCTATAGTTTTGCAAATGCTTATTCAGTTTAGCCGAATTTCACACATCGCTTTTGTTTTGGAACTTTTCTTATGCAGTACCGTCAGAATGCATGCGATCGTGTTTTTCAAACTTCAGTTTCAAAATTACATGATCTGCGGAAAAAATGTCGCCGCACAGCCATCCTTGAAGTCGATCTGGTAAGTTCGGATACAAGACAACATCGGAAAGAAATTGGTTTGTATGCAGCACCCAGAGGTACCGTAAAATGAAGCAGATTCTCTTTGGTTTGTTCACTGTGCGATGCGATCTGTGGTTCCACGATTAACATCCATACTTCTTGACTTCCTGATTGGACATGCTTCCACATGATACTTTATCTCGTAAAAGAAAAAAGATTCGCTCTTTATTTCAAGAATGACATTGGATGAATTCCATGAGCTTAGTAGATGTAGCGTGGGATGATGCTTTGAGTCAGCAAGCTGCTTTTTGAAAAAGCAAATTTTGTAAACAGATTAGTGAACGACCTGTCACAAGAACTTGTCTTTTATTGTTAATCTCATATCAGCACATGATTAGCGATAACACAGAATCTAAGCGCTATTGTGCTATAACATCTATTATTTTTCATCACTCAGAATTCATTTTTCTGTTTTCAAGTTTGCGTTAACAAACTTGCACAAGTTTGTACGTTAATATTGCTAAATCCACGAAACTCTGTAAGTGTTCAACGGGCCCATTTATTGAGTGTTCAAGGAGCTACTAAATGGTGCTGAAACCAGCGCTTACTATTAATTAGTTGCAATGCGCTTCCGCACAAGGATGCTAGTGTTGATATTGTCTCTGAAAACAACACGACTAAAATGACGAGTACAAAGAATCCCATACTCTAACAATAAGAGCTCCAGGCTGTGAGTCGCAGAAATATGCTGTTGCGCCGTTAATGCAGAGCTTCAAGCTGTGGTCAGTTGCTAACAAAAGATCAAAAGAGCCACCATTAGTGGATTTGCAACTAGTCAATTACTCTGGAGGATTTCCACATAAGGATGTCTATTATGCAACAAAAGCATGGATTGAAACTGTCCTGGTATTGTAAGGAACGATGAATGATTTTTACTACACTTCACCTAATCAACCACAATAGCACTTTTGGATGGCTCACATGACGCTGGAACTAAACCGAACATTATTCTTAGATGAGGCAGGGAACCTTATACTGCCGATGAAAGTATTTCTGCGCGTGATTTAGATAGCTTTCCGAGGGTGCAGGCGAACTATTTCGTTCAACGGCACGTCTGGGTCCAGCTGTGACGTCACGATCGTTTAGTCATCCAGTAGATGTATGAGGTCTCGTATCAACGTTGATAATGTTTCTTCCTGACTTTCTTTGTTTATTATGGATTGGTCACACCGCATTCTCCCAGCCGTTCATTCATTCTTTTTTTTAAGTCTTATCTTTCATGTGGCGTTCGTCATCTGTTCAAAGATGACATTTCAGTAGCTCGGAGAGCTAGTGACTGTCTTCAAGTCAAACTTTACTTCCGGACATAACATGCACTGCGAACGCAGTAACCGCGGCAATTTTCGATCAATACTTGCGCTGGCTTCCTTGATATGTTCTGCGCTCTCTTTGATTTGTCACCTCGTTTCCAATACATTCCCATTGAATCTAAATTTCGCAGAATGGAGGTTCCTTTTTACCAGTGCTCCACAATGATCCATCCATTCCCGGTTCCAGAATAGCTACAAATAAAATTGTTCCACTAGTCCATTGCTTAGAAAGCTGCTTTGTCAAGATGCAGATCCCGCACCGTTCGCGTTCTATCTTCCACTGAAAAATATCTTTCATGCGCAACTGCTCGTTTTGTATTTTTGCTTTGAAGCCCATCAATCTAGCGCATTTTACCAGTCTTGACTGTTACAGACACTAATGTCTATCTCCACTATAAGGCGGCAAGTAAAAAATGTCGCCTATAACTTTTCCGATGCACAAGTAAAAGTTAGAGAAGCTACTTGGTATGTTGCTATATTTTTACTTGTCAGATAATATTTTTGCTATAATTTCGGTTGCAGCAATGATCCCTGGGGTCCATCCACGGCACTAATGTCTGAAATTTCCGATCTTACTAATAATCCAATGGTGAGTTCGTCTGCCGCTTTTCTTTTACGCAAAAAATTTCATGTATTCAGGCTTTTACTGAAGTTATGTCTATCATTTGGAAGAGATTGAACGATTCAGGGAAGAATTGGCGACATGTGTATAAAAGCCTAGTGTTGCTTGATTTTTTAATCAAATGTGGCAATGATAAGGTGAGATCTTTTTTTGCCTCAGGACATATGAATGATCAAACGCACAAATATCAAGAGCTTTCACGCATTTTTCTCATTTTGCGCTTGCGTACCTTTTTTAGCATCTGTCGATCTTTCTCCTTGCCTTTTTTATCCATTCACTGTTATCATTCTATCGTTCTGCATTACTGTTCTGGCACCATTTTTTTTTCGTTTCATTGGTGATGTAATCACAGTAATCACTGGATGAGCGCGTTGAGCCGCACTTTTTTTTGCATGTTTGACTTTTATTTCTATTCTTCTTTTCACGAGTATCTGGGAACGGGATCGCTCTTCTTTGTCAGCCATGTCTTTGGTTTCTGAAACATATCCTCACATGTTGCTGGAAAAAGCCGTGGTGTCGTTTTCACTGGTCGCTGAAACGGAAAAATCAGGATTTGCTTGAGGGTATTTGAATAGTAGCGGTTTCCAAACTTTTTTCAACTGCTCAGAAAATACATTGATGTTGTGGATTCGCTGATTCTCCCTCTCTGCGTTGTGAATGTTTCAGCTATAGTTGCAACCTACTGCTCAAATCCGTGTAAGGATATTTTGTTTGGTTGATTTTAGGTTTCACAGCAATGTCGCGAAAATATATTCACTATCGAGACTTTGAAGGATTTTCAACATATAGAGGACAACCGAGATCAGGTCAGTATTGTATTTACCTGTCAGTTGTTATTTTCTGTTTTCAGGGCTTGAATATCCGGGAAAAAGCTAAACAAATAACCGCATTGCTGACTGACGAAGAGCGTCTCAAAAACGAAAGGACACGCTTTATGCTAACGAGGACAAAGTCGGTTTTATTCCAAGTTTTGTTTCACGCTACCAACTTTCGCATGTCTTTGTAATGGGTGTATGTCTTCGTGCTATATGCAGTTATTTGTGGTAACTGAAATGTTCCAATTTGAAACATAGGGTCTTCTTAGAAATCTTGGTAACCTCTCGGTTTTCTTCTCCTTTCATGACTTTTCATTCGGCAACTAGCAGCTCTCAATAGCTTGCCATCTAATTACTCATCAACCTGGAAGAACTTTCAACAATCCAATTTCAGGTTCCGGGAGAATAGTGCACTTGGTGGGGGATCAGAGCGAAGATTCCAAAGACCGGAGACGGGAACAGCTTTAGGTATGAGAGTATTTTGTTTATCGCTATGGCTTACTCTGCGCTATATAATGACCAATATGCTGCGATTTTCATTGAGCAAGGACTTTCTGTTTTTTTTTTCGGAGATTCTAGTGAGTTATATCGAAGAAGCGTTAATAGCAGCAAGTCATTTGCATTGGTGCATAACTCGCGATTTACGATCCGAGACGCATAACATCCTGACGTTCCATTTTCATAATCTAGCACCTCATTATGTTTCTTGCATACTATAACGTTTTTCTCTGCGCTTGAGAACTAAATTCGTCCATTCTGTTCCTGTGATGATCAACTGCTTGTGTGCACATTTGCGAAGATTCAAACCCACATGCTTTTCAAATGCTTAATTTTTGAGTGTTAGTGATGTTCACTGTTTTACTCCTTACTGGAGTTTAGATCCCGAGATAGAGGATGCTCGCCCGTCTTCAATAGGTGAGGAGGAGATGCAGCTTCAAATAGCTATAGCTCTGTCAAAGGAAGAGCATGAAAAGATCGACGAGATGATGAGGAGCGATGAAGTACGACTACAGGTATTTCGGTTTTCACTCTACTTTTAGTTGACTCATCTCGCAATAATTCAAAGATTTTGTGGATGGTTGAAAACTTTATCGTAGAAAAGGCAGGGTTCATCAACTGTACAGAGATTGCTATGCGTTGTCCAACCTCATCTTTCATCAAGTTTCTCTAAATATTATGCTGAATAGCTGTGTAGTGTTAGTAGTTGCGCTAATTAGGCATCTATCGTAAAGGATATTCGTCGACGACTGCCCCAACTAGTGCAATTACACCACCGTAGGCTTGCTTTTTTGGAGCCTTTTCAGCTTGAACAGTAGGACAGGATAGGACAGGGATGCTGCGAGCTACGAAGTCCCCGCCCAGCTGCAGCATACTGTCCAGCTGGAAAGGCCCCAGTTAGGCACGCCTAAGGTGTGTAATTGCACGAGTCGGGGCAGTCGTCGACGAATATCCTTTAGCATAGCATGCTTGTCAAGCGCAAGTTCAATAACTGTAGTCGTAACATCTCATCCATCATGTTCAGCCTACATCAAGTCTAGTCCAAAACTCTATTCAGCTTAGGCATCAAACAGAGTTTGCTCGATTTTAACCCTTTCTCGGGGGGGGGGGGGGGAGGTTACACACCCATCTCTCAGATTTGTGCTTTTGAGCCTGAGGTGCTGTAAAAAATATTTATCCCTTTTGTATCTCTTCCTAGCAGCTAAGGATGTTATCAGTGTTTGCAACATGATCATGCTGCTAATCCTAATCAAGCTATCGCGTATTCAGCTCGCCCTTGAAGAATCTCAACGAGAAGCTGAACGAATGGCAAAGATGGAACCGAAAACTGTCAACAGTGGTCAATTGACGCAGAGTGCTTTGGATGATCTACTCTCACTTGGAGTAGGGGAGGTATGATTTGCTGGTAATACTGTTTTACCCTTGCTCTGCTGCTGTCTTAAGTTAAAGTAGTTCAATGCTTTAGAACGTTTGGATAGGTGTACAAAGACCTGCTATGTATTCCCTTCAACTTATTTTTTTAAACAAAGTATTATATTTGTCGTATAGTGTGTCTCTATTTACGTTTGCAAGAGTTACCTCAGTATTTCCTGAGACGTTTTTCATATTTTACATGTGAATTTAAGATGGTTACCAGTGAACAACCAACATCGTCGTCTAATGCATGGGGAAACACTGGCTTGGTAGATCCATGGGCCACGACTACTTCTCAACCTCAAACTACCTCAAGTAATCTATATCCAAGCGGTGTGTTGGTTTTCTATAATGTTTCTCCATTTATAAGTTAAAATGTTGAAGAATGCATTGATGTGTGAGAGAGATGTTTCATGGTTTAATAAATGTCTTTGTTTTCTGCAGGTCAGTTAGTGAACAACGACCCTTGGGCTCCTTCCACGGGAACAAATTTGCTTGGTGGTAGCACCAGTACCTCGAACTCTACACCGGCCCCATCTTCCACGGTGGATCCCTTCTCTGCTTGGGAACAACAGCTCGATCAGCCACAAAATTCTGAGGTGACTGAAGAAGAAATTCATGATTGACTGCAATATTCTTGTTTTCTTTTTCAGCAGGCTCAGTCTTCAAGTGGAACAAATGGTCAGAGCACCAGCGCAGCGCGAAAGACTCCTGAAAACTTCTTAGGAGAGAACAAGAACCTTGTAAATTTGGACAACCTTTTGGGTGTATCATCCTCCAACAATGCGAATTGTGAGTTTCTCCTGATGTTCTGACATTTTTTCTTTCTCCATCGATGTTCTTGTAGTCAAAGAGTTGTTGATTATGCATAGACAAATTCAGTAGGAAATACTGATCGATGTGCGGTTATGTCTTTTCTCTTTCAGGTGCAAATCCATTCCTTCTCACAAGCACGTCGACTGCTGCCAACCCATTTGCAGCCCAGCAGCGGAAATCACCAACTTTAAATGAAATGCGAGCAGCGCAAGCCACCTCAGTACCACCTATTCCCAGTGTTGGACCTAGAGTAGGCGTGCTGCCGCAACCATTGCAACCGACACAAGAATCCAATCCGTTTGCCAGTCCTTTTTGAACTTGAATGAACATCGTGAACTTGCTGTTTGGGTTACTTTACTTCCGCGATGTATCTGCCCTGTTATCAATTCAGCACAAAAAATGTGATATTTGATCATTAACAATTTCTCACCGTTCTACTTTGCGACTTGTATATCTCCTTTCATTGTGGTACTTCTTCATTATGGGCTCGGTTAAAGTTATGTGCATGGAATTTTGTTAGTGTACCTATTCTCCGCATCGATTAGTTTTTGCTTACTATACGTGACTTTGAGTGCGAGATTACTTCACTGGCTCATGTTTGTAAAGAAGAGATGTATATCAAAAATAAACTAACTCATTTCGCAAATGCGTGTGAGTGAACTTGATCCATGGCCTTGCGAGTCTTCGATTATGTCGAGGGTGAACATCCTTCAACGATCGCTTTGTTTGGAGATCCAGGCTGTGTTTCCTATATGTTTTCGCTGTTTTGCTGGTATCATTACTTTTTCTTCTATTTGTTTTCCTTGAGCTTCGAAGGAAGCGTATCAATTCCATGTTTATCAAAAAGATAATAAGTAGTACCAATTTGGACAATCATCGTCCACCTGCAGCGATCTGCAGATCACATTAGGAAGGAACTATCCTAATTATGTGGGGGTGAATTCGACCTGCGCAATGTCACATATGTCATTTCAAGATACAACCAAGGTTGAGCGAGAGGTGTGGCACACAAGCGCCGGATACATTCCCCCCTCCCCTCCCACCAGCATTATCGTTGCCTTATGTAGGCATGAAATAAAGGCTCTGCCAGCATAATTAGGCACATATTCGTAATTAGCATGTCAAATAACCACCATAGGCCAAGTCTTAGCAAATTCTGAGGGTTTACAATATTGGACCACCCAAGTGAAGTGATCATTTTAAACATGACTAAATATGTTTCAGGAGTGAAAATTAGCTTACGCTTTCTATACTTAATACAAAACAATACTCCCTTTTACCCATACCATGAATCCTGCTTCGAATAACCATTAGACTATGGAATTAGAAGCAGGCCGAAATCTCGTTCGTACCATTTTTCGCTTTCAGTGGCTGCGCTTTCACCAGCTTACTCAGAGCGAAGGAAATGAATCAGACCCAGATTACTCTTATGAAAACTGGAAGACTCAGACTATCTAACTATATGTATTTTGTTTGCTAAAATTCTTTTCGAAGGCAAGTTAATGGGGTATGGCACAACCACCAAAAGCTGTGGCCGCCACATCTTTTTAGGGGTTGTGCCACACCCCATTAACTTACCTTCAAAGCATTCATCTTTTTTACAAGGTTGCTATGCCAAACCTTCTTCTCCATATAGCAGGAATCTCATTCAAAGTTGTTCCTCCTAGGAAATATATGGTCGTTTTTCATTATCTATGCAAATATACTGCGTGAATATTGGATAACGGTAACTGCTAAATCTGCGCTACTTACTACGTGAATCTCGAGGGAAGGTGGCAAGAACAATAATTCGATTGCCTAAATCTCGTAGTTTTCACAAAAGTGATTTGATCTGATTGGTCTTCGCCAATCTGAGATATTACAAGCAAGAAATGGGACGAAAGAGATTCTGGTTTGCTCTTCATTTCATAGTCCGGAGGTTATTTGAAGTAGGATTTCTAATGTGTGCAAAGAAATAATAGTTCTTAGTATTCAATGCAAAAGGAAGTATTAGGGTGAACGGTAAAAAATGGGACACTTAAATAACTGGAGGTTTCTCAAGAAAGAGAAGTGAATAGACATTCCAGTTTTGATAGATGTTAGAATATGTTATTCTCTTTCAGATAATACCTATATAAGGTCATTTGCATAATTAATAATTTTTATACTTGCTGAAATGCAAAGTTAATTACTTCGACAAATTATGATGAGCCCGCAGTGAAACATGTGAGACCATTCAAAGTACCACTGCTGGAGTGGGTGGTGGGACAGTCACCAAACCCACGACGGCTTGGTGGCCTGAACTTCCAAAGTCAGGAGATACGACCATTAGCAGCTTCGAGAACAAAGATACGCGTTATTCAATTCTTTGCAGGTGAACGCATGTTTTCCAGGTACTATCTGATAGAGCTCTTTATGCTCTATCCACCCATATGCAGCTTACCTCAGATTTTATCTATTTTCGGAAAATGAAGGGCAAAACATAATTTTTTAGTTTTTTACTGCGCCAAAAATAGCCATTTTCCAGGTTTTTTCGCAATTTTTCCTGAAACTGAAAAGAAATCTTAAGCATTTAACATATCGTTGAAAAGAGCATGAAAAGCTCTTTCGAATGGTATGTCATTTTATACGACGTTACGGTATAGCAGCGCAAGATTGAGAGTTGTTCAAAAAACCCTGTCGGAGTTCTTCACGACGCCACGCGTACGGTTATGAGAGAGGAGCGGTAACGCGTTGCCAGAATAATAGGCGAAGGTCGGTTATGTAAGCGACGTTTGAGTTGCAGCCTGCTGTTATTGGTGAGGACAGAAAATCTTAAAATGTAATAAAAAATCAAGCTGTCCCATATTTTACCGTTCACCCTAATATTAGGTTGTCGGATAATTTCTGTTACACTTTTTTCTAAAATTTCCAGAAAATTTCAGAAGCTTTCGAAGTCAGGAAACCCCAAATCTGCAGCGTGCCTAGGGCATAGCAGGGTCTACCCACCAGCATGATTAATTCCGCAAGTGCACTAATGACCAACAAGTTTACGGCAGTTTTGTAAGAGCAGTCAATTTTTTCAGTTTTTGTCTGATCTTTTTCTCTGCACCTACTTGCCCTTTCCCTCTCTAGAATTTTTTTAGAACGTATTTTAGCATTGTCTCTCACATGGAGGCATTGCGGTACTTTTAGCGTTTCAAAAACGAGGGGTGAAAAAAATACCCAAAAAATTCAAAAACTTTCCTAAATTTTTCTTTTTATGTGCATCGTATAGAATTGAATACAGAAAACGTAAAAGTGATTTTTGGAAATTTTTTGAAGACGTTTTCTTCGTAAAAATCCCGATGATTGCTTAGATGGCGCACACTGAGATTTGAACCGCTCAGAAAAACGTGTGCAGACATGTCTGCGTTCCCCATATTAGCTAAACGCTACAGACTATGCCCTACCTGATTAACACATTGTCCGGTCCATCGCTCATCACCTGAGAGAACGCCAGCTCATTTACAAAAATGGGAAGAAACGGATTTTTAGCCACAAAGTGAGTGTTTTGCGCATGGATCGCGGATGCGACGGTACCCTTGCCATGCACCGTAAACATGAGATCTTTCCAAAGCTTCTGAGATTTTTAAGAATTAAAATAAAAAGTGTAACAGAAATTATCCGACAACCTAATAGTTAACCACCTTTGAGACAAAGTTGGCTTGTTCGAAAATGACCATTTCACTTGGGTGGCCTTTAGGCTCCCGCCAGAGTGCCGAAGCCATGCCAGGCTGGAACTGGGCCTACAGGTGTTATTTGACATGCTGATTACGAAAATGATCCTCTTATGCTTTTAGAGCTCTTTCGTTATGCTTGCGGTACCGTATATGACGGTAGGCCGAAACATTAGTGTAATTTGCACAATACGCCTCTCTGACATTGTTGACAAGTATCATGTTATCGCTAATATCACTATCACCTCCGACCCCCCTCCCACCTCTCTGACCCCTCAATACGACCCCCCAGGGGGTGCATGTCAAGAGGCGCGATTTTTATTGCCAGCTGGACACCAAATAGCAAATAATAAGTGTTTTGCAACTTTCTAAAAGTATATGAAATTTAGAAGAAGATATATTAGACAGTTGCATGAGTTGTTCAATCTTGATACTCTAGAAAAAATTCAAAAGAGCAATTTTGAAGGTCAAAAACTCATGAAAATGCATTTCAGAACAAATTCGTAAATATTTCAGCCCGATTTATAGCAAAAACCATGAAACTCAGCAAATGGTGACCTCAAATAGATAGTAAGCTAATGCACTTTATCCGGTAATTTTTTGAAGACTCGCATAGCACTAAACTGGAGTTTTAAGTTGGTGACAGCCAGAGAAATCGCGCCTCTTGACCGTCTCCCCCCCCCCAGGTGTGGGGTGCCACACCCGCAAGAAATGGGAACATCCCGAGGACTTGTTTACAGAGCTTCCTGAGGGCTTTAGATGGGCTCTGTATAGCTATACAGAAGCGTAATAATGAATCCTACTCTTTCTCTTCGGAGCCGCATCCTCAATTTAGTTGCTATGCGCTTAAACTCATATACATATGTATTATCATTACTCTTCGATGAAGCACAGAGGCTCCCATCCGATGTCAGCAACGTCCGGTGTACAACTTCTAGATCGCTTTATTTATTTATGCAGTCTGTTCCAAACTGTTTATCAGTATCATGACTTCCTCTCTCCCCACCCCTCCTTAAGCTAGAGGCAAGCATGACCATTTATGGTATATATGATGTTTTGCGCTGACTTAGATCTTTTGTTCTGCTTGTAACGTTTATTCATGACATCAAGCCAAGCTAAGTTTAGTTTATTTCATCTCCGCTATTTTGCTTTATCAGCTGGACAAAACTGAGTGAAATTACCGTAGCCAGCTTCACAATCGATATCTTCCAAATAACTGAGCAAATTTGGACACTGCCTAGAAAGTTGCGATAGTACTCTCTCTCTCTGCAGCATGATCCCTTCAAAATCTTCTGCATTTGTTAGTCAGTGTAGAATTGTACTGTTTTGTAAACACTCGCAAATATGCTAGAGATTAAAAACGGCTTTTACAGGGTTTTCGAAAATCAAATTTTATGAGCTGCCAAAAGAAGAACGGTTTGAAAAGAAATATCCGTAAAAAGTTAGAGATTGCAGCCTTCTAATCAAGCTTGAAAAACAAAAGGATTCTGAGGCGCTATGGAGAATGTTTCAGGAAGTAAGATAATCTAAAGGTCAGAATATCAAGAAAAACTGAAACAATCTGGAAAAGTTTTGCAAAAAAGTGGAAGGAAAATTGTGAACATTTCTAAAAAAAAAGTTCGTGGGCAATTAAAGGTGTGCTAGACTCGTGCTTGACATCGAAAGTTGAGTGTTTTGGATTTTCAAATGCGTGTCAAAGCCATGGCTTTTACTAAAAGAATCATGGAAAGGATTAACAGTGATCTACTCAAGAAGACTTCGTGGTGATTTCATGGAGAACTTACCTAAATACTTGAAATGGATGGGAACAGAGGGAACAATCAAGAGCAACAATCTGAAACGTGATTTTTAGAAGGAATAGTAGATATTTTGATGGAAGGAATGACACTAAAGAGCATATGAGGGAATGAGGGAAGATATTCAGGTAAGGTGGGAAACGAGCAACTGCTAAGAACATACAAAGATGAGCGATAGAAAGTAAAGAGAATCGTGGCAGTGACAGCAGCCTGAAAACACGGGTAACTTCTGGGCTTGGAGAACCAAACAGAGACTTGTGGCCTGTATATTTTGTGAAGACACTCAGCTGCGTCGCAGTTCGATTGAAGAGTTTTTCTTTTCAGAAATTTACTAATTGCTCATTTGTACTACTCATTTGGGCAACGGCCTTATCCACCGATTTTTCACGCCTAGAGGAGACGAAGTTTCTCACATGAATATGACAACAATGAGTAAATACATAATCATAACATGGTATACAATCGAAGAAATCTTACTTAGATTAGATCTTTCATGCATCATATATTTCTAACGGATTTTGCACCATATAGCAACCTCTTCTAAGGAAAATCACGCTACAAAACTAACATTTCCAGATGAAGAGCAATAAGAAAGAACGCGAAAAAACAAGTTTCGCCGACAACTCGAACTGCGAGAGATAGTTACAACATAGATGAAAACATATAAAAGATGAAGACGATTGAAAGTCTAGTGATTGCACACCTCATTCACGATTGACTAGATACCGAAATGAGCGTTATACAAAAAAGATTAGATTTCTGTGACAGCATATTGCACTTACGCATGAAGTGACTGGGCAGTATCACGAAATACGAGGCCCTCGGGAAGTTTCTTCATGTTACAGTCCCCAGAATGTCTGCATTTCCGGGGAATTTTCCGAGGAGATGCTTGGGAAGTTCCTAACTGCGTTGCTCAGAACGCCAAAGTTCTCAAGAAAAAAATCCCATTTTTGCACTTCCTTTAACCTCTGTGCTAGATGAGACCCTCGGGAAGCTTGCCAAAATCGCCTTGTCCTCAGGAAGTTCCCACGAATTCTCTAAGCTAGTTATATGCACCAGGCTCACCAACTACACAGTGCGGTTCATAATAAACGAACAGCCCTTGTTTTGAAAGTTTCTGGACTTTTTGGAAGCTCGAAGAATCGTTGGTGCTTCTCGAAAATGCGTAATCCAAAACGTATTCACAACATTCAAAACATATTCAAAACACATGAATGAAAAGCGGTTTAATCCTAGAGTTTTTGCGCATATTTTTCACTCTAAGCTGCACTCTTTCGGTTCAAAATCTTTGTTTAAAGTTACAATGACAAAGTTTGGGAGATCTGCTGCACACCGAACACATTGCAGTCCTAAGGCCTAAGGGATACCTCACGCGATTCGGAAGAATCGCTACTTTCACGCAACTTGGCAATTTGCCAGATTTCTGCAAATTTATCGTACGTTCTTCTCGAACGCATATTTGGGTAGCTTGTATGAGTTGTTGCAAACCGATGAAGTTCTGACCAACGGCAGCGCATCAACGACGATTTACGAAGATTCACTGTTGTGACAAATCGCGCAGCGACCGGAATCGCGCGAGGTATGCCTTAGGCCTAAAAGAGGAGCGTTATTTTCAGTTGGCTCTGAATGCTTTTGGAATCGGTGCGAGTCAAACAAGTTGTTTTCTGTTCAGACGCTCCCTTCAGCTTGTAATAAAACTTTGTGACTCAATAAGCTTTCTTGATAGATGTGTTGTACAATCGGAAACCGCGGTTTCCTTGTGTTTATCATCCGTCTCGACTTTATTTTAGGGTTGGCGCGATTTTGATTCGCAGAACGTGGTTACGTTTCTGGTTTCTGTTTAGTGAAGTTCTATGATGAAGTTAGCGCATGCTATGTGCAGGTCCGTAACATTGTGTGTTTGGCTAGAAAGTCCTGCAACGCTGAGCATCTGTTTTGGCCACGCAGGCGTCATCCCACAAAGATGACTCAGCACTAAAAATATACTTCTCAGTCAGATAAAAAAGAATAATTCTAGCATACTAAATAACCAACAAATCAACTGTGGCAAACTTATCGGCAATCAGAGCTACCTGAAGGATAGAAGTTGGGGAGGAATAACGGTTAGAAGCATATGAATTAGAAAAATAAATGTCTTTTTAGTCACAAAACACCTTATAGAAGCCGCCTTTCCTAGACATGTCCTTCTTGCTCGGTGCACCTTCTCAGTTGAAGAGATTGAGTGCTCCATCAGGGTTTTTTTTTATGATGTCGCTATGAACCGCTATGCCTTACTCCCTCTGCAGAACGAGCAAATTTGGTAATCTTTTTCGGTATTTTCACTTTGCATGAAGTCATTGGACGTTGAGTCTCGGGTAATTAGGTGGCGTAAAATGGTCACTAGTTCCGTGGCTGACACTCTCATTATGCAAGCAGCAATCAACATGGCGGTTCTCTTCGACTAGCTTCTGTACGCTATTGCTGTCTGCGCCTCTGTTCTGAGACACGTGACCGCTGATGCCCTACATCTCAAGGATAATCTGACCTTCGATAACGCGCGGCTTCTACATTCATCGAACTGCAGGTTTCTTAGAGTTGTAGAGAAAATGGCAAGGCCATGCAGCAGATGTACTTCAGTGACTACGACCTACTCAATTTTCAAAAATTACCCTTGGCACATAAGAGCTTTTTGATAAATTGAGCACTTCACAAAAAAGGCGATTTTTTCAAGTCAGTTTTCTAAAAAAATTTCATTTCAAATGGACTGCCACCTTGCTTTTTTTTGTTTCTGGACATGTTTTTCTCGAAACTGTAGCCAACAGCTCTCCATTACGTAAACGCGATGAAAGGCGGGTCGCAGATGAAATTGAGCACTCTTTTTCGTAGATGGTCTCAGGATCTGGCTGCCTCGTTAACAGTCATTAACCGCGTTAGCGTAGTTATCACATGACGTCTGTACACTAACGATGTAGGCCTTAAAGGCAGCGTCCAGGCAGATCTGGACCTATGGGGCTTTTACGTGGAATGTACTTTTGGGGCCCTAACTAAGGCACTGCCCAAGCGGCAGCTCAAGTAGTGCTCTAATGGCTGAGATATTCCCCTCGAAACTGGTCCCCGCGAACGTATTCGCATGGATTCATGGCAGTTTCGCGCGAGGATCCACGCTTTGCGCCATGAATCCATGCGAAATACGATTGCGGAATCCAGTTTCGAGGGGAATATCTCAGCCATTACAGCACTACCTGGGCTGCCGCTTGGGCAGTGCCTTAGTTAGGGCCCCAAAAGTACTTTCCACGTAAAAGCCCCATAGGTTCAAATCTGCCTGGACGCTGCCTTTAAAGGCAGTGTCCGGGCAAAAACTCGATTTTGAGATTTTGTGCTTATCTGGGCCTATTCGCCATGCTGAATCCGAAAATCCTCACCGGATAGCGCGAAAACGGCGAAAAAGGCCCAATGTGGATTCACGCTCCAAGCTTCCGGAGCGATCTTCTCGATTCCAATTTCAAGTCATGCATTCGCATCTGGCCTGTGGAGATCTTAGAGTGCTAGCGGAATTGAGAAGATCGCTCCAGAAGCAGGGACCGCGAAATTCACAGTGGGGAAGACCCCGCCCACTTTTAATTTCCCTCCCACGTTAAAGCCCTTTTTCGCCGTTTTCGCGCTTTCCAATGTGGATTTTCGGATTCAGCATAGTGAATAGGCCCAGGTTAGCACAAAATCTCAAAATCGACTTTTTGCCCGGACACTGCCTTTAAGTGTGAGTCACTTCTGCGGCCGAATTGGATAAATGAGGCGCCCCAGGTATGAATTCACATAATTCAGTTGTCATCATATTCTACATTTGGCATTCAGGGACAAGTTTCTTCAGACAAGTTTTGACTAAAGCATTTCGTCCTCTGCTGTTCTTTGGTTCAAGAGAAAAATTAATCGAGGGACAACTAGTAAGTATGTTTTTGAAAATAGCGAGAAAAGAAAAGAAGCAGAATATATTTGCGGGTTCAGTTATGTCCATTATGATGCATTGGGAAGTATTTTACGTCGTAAAAATTGCAAATAACGATGGAAAAACAGGAATGGCTTTCGTCATTAATAGAAGATGTTGTTCCATATGTCTCTCAGTGAACATGCATCGTGCTTCCATCGCTCGCTCAAATGATCTCTGCTACAAGAGATGTCAAGATCCTTCCAGCAGATTCTAAGCTTTGAGCGGGTCATTTAATTTTCGGTGCCGGATATATGACCTACGCTGTGACGAACTACACACCGGGCACTGATAACGTCTGTAATGACAGTTGATGTATATTGGCTGGACTTTTCAAGAGCTCTGCAACCAACAAGAGGCAGCACCTGCGCAAAAAGCGAATTCACCCGAAGTCTTGCCAATGGAGATGCCGATGTTATGTATTGGCCCGCATACAGATGATTATGGATGGTGATTCGAGTTAGCTTAAACTTCGGACCACGCTGCTGCACGCCATTCGTTACACTCTTTTTGAAAAAACTTCTAGTTATAAGCAAGATCAACAAATTATTTCAGAAAGATTTCTTGAAGAGCAGTACGTTTACAAGAAAGTGGCTGCAGTATAGATGCAAGACTGTAATAAGTGCACAATGATATGATTAGGGAAGTTTCGAGAAAGAGCTGCATATCTTACATTTGCGGAAAAAATCCTAAACGGATCTACACCAGGAAACCGAAACAAATATTGGAGCTAGCTCTTTAGTGAGAAACCAAAGATAGATCCATGGAACTTGAGTGGTTACAGTGTCCTTATGCATCGGAACTCAGAAACACGTTCATGCGCTGCAAAGTCTGCAGAAGTCACAAGCGACGCTTCAGGATTCCAGCATTGAAAGAAACAAGTTCGATAGGACTACGAAAAGTTTTCTGCATCAGAAGAGAATCAGATTACTGTAGTGGGTGGAATGCAGATATCGGTCGAGTTATTGGGCGTCATCTACAATTAAAAGAGCAAATCCGCAGTTAAACTATACATGACGTTTGCAGCTCAGCAGCTCGAAAGTCAAAAAATTCAGTACATAGCACCATTACAGCTTTGCTATCAGCATACAGCACTGCTAAGGAAGGCTTTCCTTTGACATTGTACTTCCCATTGATGATGTTTGCATCAAAAAGGGTGAGAGTGCGAACTTGGCAAAGCTCACTGCGAAGCCACAATCACGAAAAGCGTGCATAATATTTTGCATTGCAAGTACGAGCTGTTCAAATACCTGATAGCGAATGATCTTCTTTCTTCTCTTCTGGTAGACGAGCTCCCTCCTTGGGAGGGACACGGTGGATGGCTTACATGATTCGCACGGTAACTCCTGCATTCAAGTCATACTCCTTCCATTTGTTTATGCCGAGCTGAATAACAGGTCAATTTATAGTAGATGTATTTCACATTTTCGTGGGAGAAATTTCCCGGCCTTGAGGTCTCGTCGCATGAACAGGTGCAAAAATGTAGCTACCACCACGATGGAGCAAGCACGATGATGGAAGTAACCATGATATCTTTGGAAGGCTGCACAACACATACAATAAGAAGGCTCCTCTCCAGCTAGATTAGATCGGCTTCTGCCTGTCTGCGCTGCCTAGGCTGATTATTGCGTCGAAGAAGGCAAATCACATCAGTCACATTGCCGGAGAGCTCAGAAAGGTGCATATGGTTTTCTAGACGACATTGCAAATATACAGAATGTCTAATGCCTTTTGAACACCTGCAAATGGGTCAGTTTTTCGCTATTCGCTGGTCTGAAATTTTCAAAAGGAGCCTCAGTAACGCTATTCGCATGTGGCCTACGTTGGGTTTTTTCTTGATGTTTTATAGACAGCTCATTAATGGATAAAATACATCGGGAGCTGATGGCGTACAATGCGATTGTGGATCCGTGACGGAGAACCAACTAAAATGGCTGGATGAACAGTTTTTAGCCTTGGGCCCACCATGAGCGGTCGTTTTGTCCCCCCACTACTAATCCGTAGGCTCCTTCTCGTGGCCGCATTACTTTTCGCTACTGTCAAGTGTATTTACTCTGTTGTGTACTGTATTCCCTGTGGCACCCATCCTACGTCTTTCCCGTCACGGCCTGGTTATTCTCTGAGGCAGTCGTTATTTATTCCTAGTACTGTCGTCGGATTCCGCTATCTATCAAGGCGCCAATTTCATCATACATTAATTACCTCCCCACCAATGATCTCCATGTCATCCCGGTTGCTCTCATCGTCTGTTCCATCTAAAAGAGGCCGCTCTGAAGCCTCATTCTCTGTACCTGACCCCACTGAGCGCTTTGTGGCGATTACTTCTGAAGATACTATTCCCTGTTATTCAACGTTATTGGGCAACAATCTGCTGAGAGAGAGAGAGGAGATCAGCGGTCTTAATCAAAAAACGACTACTGTTATGAAGGAAAATTTCGACCTCAAAGGAGAAAACCGTAAGCTACGCATGAAATTCGTCTACTAATAACAACGTTCAGGAAACACTTGATACTCGTCGTGTTGGCTTTGGGGGTTTTTTGCCGCTCGACATGAGGGCCATACGTTCATTCATTACCGTGTACAGGACCTGGCAGGAGGTTGCATTCTGGGATTCTGGAAATGATCTTCCCTTTGAACCCAAATTTTACGATTTCCTCTTTGACTCTATTTTTGACCCCCCCCCCCCCCTAATTCCGTGACAGACAATATACAAATAAATAGACGGCCAAATAGATAGACTTCATTTATTGTTCCACCTTAGGTACATAACTTTACATTTTAAAAAACGAAAATAAACCGGCAACATCAGACGTAATATGAATTAAAGAGATTCAACCTGTTTTCAGGTGCACGAGCTGTACCCATCACTCGGATTCACTCACTCATCCTCATCACTCATGCAGCTTATACACATGGAAAGCCGTATCCTGCTGAGCCGTACCCATCACCCAAATTCATTCATTCACTCACCCTCCTCACTCGATTTGCTGCACTTATACACATGGAAACAAGTCTACCGCATACGCAGTCACCTCTTAACCAGTGAATCACCATGGAAAAGATTGAACTACTCCTGTTTATTCTTAGATCGCTTGCTGTGGACATCCCACCACCCCCACGGAGACAGTCAGAGCAGTGGATCCAACAACATCGAAAAAAATTTCAGATTTTGCCGCCCGACATGAGGGCCATACTTTCATTTACTACCGCTTACAAAATCGTGACCTTATTGGAGCTTGTATTGGAAAGGCCGCTAAAGCAAATGGGACTGCGATCTCTCTCTAAGTGGTGTGGGCGGCTCTTCGAAATTGCCACAGGTGCTATCAATGGATCCTCTGAGGGTATATTACGAACTACAGCGATTTTCGCATCAGCGCGGAGATAGGCAGTTCATTTCGATAGATTTTTCTTCGGATAGAACAACGTTCACAGTTTTGGCCATTGGACAGGTATGGATAATGCTGCCGCGTCTTCCCCCTGCCCTCCTATACCCGACAAGGGATTTCGGAGTCCGGGTGGATCTTGAAATGAGAGACGAGTATGATAACGAACAGATTACTTTCGCTAAAAATCACATTTATTCTTTGTTCAAATGCATCACAAACATTTATCATATTTTTCTTTTTGATTTCTCGGGAAAGATCATTTCAGGAACAACATCGCCATTATCACTCGCCCTCCTCCCACAACTACAACGTACCTGAACGCCCAAGACTTGAATGGCAACACTGAAATAATTTTCATAATTATTAAGAATAAAAGCTTGACATTGGATTTTTTACGAAAATGCAGTTCCAATATGATGTTTTATTCGATATGAGTACAATCCATGAAAAATGGTCAGAATCTAGGAGGATGACCATCAATTTTCGCCGGGGCTCCGCCCCGGACCCCAAAATACAACTTCTGCTTTTTCGGGCCAAAAACGATATACAGCTTGTGAAAAGCACAACCCCCGGGCCCTGCTTCTATAGTATTTGTGAATTACATTACAATACGTGGTTTTTTTCAATATGTTGATGAGCCAACTAGAGCTGTTTTTGTTTTCGCTATTCTTTCTTGAAACTGTGCTGATCTAGTCAATAATGTTACTATATTCGCCCTAATGGCGCTGATAATCACGCTATCCTTGCTCTTCTCCTATATTTCCTTACGTGCTCGGAAGGAAATATAGGAAGGGATGTCAGGGACTTTAGAATGCGGCATCTTGTCCGGGATTATCTAGCTAGTATCAACTGAGTGGGCTGCTTTACGCCCTTAGCCTCCTTTGGTGAAGCGTACAAACTTTCTACTGCTGTTCTACAGCATACAGTAAAATTGCCCGTTCTATTACATAAGGTGCCTACAAATTAACCTAGACTATCAGTTTACTTTATCAGTATTCGATAAACTATGATGAAGAGGCGTGATTGGTATTGGACCTCGCTGTTGGAAGTCGAAAAATTGAAGTTCGGGCGCTTTTTATACCTCTAACAGGAAATTTCTTGGAGCCCTCGAAAGGTACGGCAGAGACCTACGGGGAAGCTCTCATGTACCCAGGTGGATTTCAGCTGTAGCCACTGCCTTGCTGATTTTTGAGGTAGTGATTCTGACGAGGAAAGTGCACCTTGGCTGCACTATAATGGTAGGGGCCGGTATCGTGATGCTGTCATCAGCGACAGTGAGCATGCCCCATTACTCAGACTCCTCGTTAACCCGCGTGGCGTCTGTGGTAGCTGTGGTTGGGCTGAGTGTACTGGCGGCAGATGCACTGAGCAGAACCGTGGCCGGAGCAGATGAAGCAGTGGAGCTGGTGGAGCAGGTGGAGCGCATGAAAGGAAGCCGTGATCAAGTGATTCGCGAGCAGTACATTGAGCTGCAGAGAGTGAAGATGCAGAAATTGATAGACAAGGAACGGTCGAGCAGCATGGCCACACTTGACACTGGACAGGATTATAATTTGTTGCTGGATATGCAGGTGGTGGACCAATAGATGAAACTACGTGTTGACGGAACGAGCGACATTATACGGGTCATTGTGGAGGTAGTTTTGAGCTGCGGCTTAGCATTCGAGCACATTGCAATGTGTAGCGGGAAAGTCAATGCATGAGCTTCGTCTCTTGTCAGTTGTAATTGGGAAAGAGATTGATGCCTGAGGTGAGCATAACGCCTGGCGAGATACTGAGGAGCACCCATTTCTGGGCGTCAATGGGCTGGATAACAATGGGAATAAAGTCTGGAACCCAAACGGAGCTGATAATCTGAGCTGGGGTGGCTGTGGGGTCTCAGCCTGGCTGTCATCGCATGGCGGTTCAATCGGGAAGAAGGCCTAGGCAAAGGATTGCTGGCGGCAGCGAGCACGCTGCAAGAAACAATACCAGGAACACCCCGGCAGCTGATTTACCGGTTGAATAGCGTTTGGAGTGTGTCTAGGGACGTCAGAGTTGCTTCCGTGGTGGTGTCGATTCGCAGTGCTCATGCAGTGATACTGAATCAGAACATAACAAGCGCTGAAGGAGCCGTAGCAGAATGAGTGCGATAGGAGAAGCAGGTTCCGTTTTAGGTGAAGGGAGTTTGGCTATTCCCGATCTAGAAAGTGAAGGGGTAATTGAGCCTTAAGATGAATGTTGTCGTATCTTATATGCCTAATGGGAGCGGGAGTGGAAGGAAAATAAGTGGTACAGAGGTGTAATATGAAGATTTTCTCAATGCTTGCTTAGGCTTTGGAAGGTCATCCAACAGAGATTTTTTTGACTCAGGAAGGCTTTATGTTTTATCAGTCGACATATCATTCGAAAGCTTGGAACATACAGCGACGTAGATCGTCTGTTTTTTTTTCAGCTCTCCTGTGAATGCAGATATAAAAAATTATATCTAGCCCCCAGCATCAGCTGATTTTATGCAATCACTTTGCGCTCCATTTCTGAAAGAAAGAGGAAAGCAAGTAAAAAGAGACGGTCTACTTTTATAGGCGAAGTCTTGCTCTGTAACGGGGTTAGACAACTGGGCAGCTTTATTCACCCTTTGCACAAAAATTTTCTCACAAAACACACATGTTTTGCTAGGATGCCATGTATCTCTGAGTAGAGGGGATCTAGAGACAAAGAGACAGTCTACGTGGAATCCGTTTCGTAAGCTTTCTAATGGTCTATAGGTTGTTGAATGATAAAAAAAATCGTGGCTTTTAAAAAATGAGGCGGAGTGGGTCGCCGGAGCAAGACTTTTCTGGACTAGAAAAGCTTTTTGCATCAACACTCTGTATATCATTCGTAGCTAAGAATACGAGGAATCGCCGCAGATCGTCTTTTTTTTCTAGCTTTTCTGTGAAGCGAGATACGAGCAGTTTCATCTAGTTGCAATGTCAGCCAGTTCTAATTAATTATCTCGTGCTTCATTTTTGAAACCAAGGAGGTTTTCTTCGAAGTTTTATATAATATATAATTCAAAGCTTGAGAAACGTGTAATCTAACTGCTCTTTCATTTGTTATCAGTGTCTCTAGTGAAAGGAGATATGGTATGATTCTTTTCAGTAAACATATCCATCACTAGACAGTCCAGATTTTCTACTGTTGCTCAATTCTTTCATGCGACAATGTCTATTCATTGATAGCATGTTGATTATCCAAAAAAATCAGACATCCCTTCAATTTTTGACTATGTTTCGTTATTAACGCATTTTGAGTGCGCAGCAGGTCTCGAGCATAGGTGCGATAGTGTGGGAATTTGCTCACACTCCCTTCATCTTTGAACCGGGACCAAGGTGACCCTTTCATCAAAAGCCGAGAAAAAAATCAACAGTGAGGTAAGGTTAAGCAAAGGAGATACCGTAGGATATTGTTTGTGTATCGGAAAGGAGGAAGAAGACTTATAGACATTCACGAATTTACAGGGAAAAAAATCGTAGCTTCTGTAGCTGCACAACAACGCCAGCAGCGGAAGTTCCGTAGTATAACGTTCCCCTCTGGTTTTACGGAAAAAATAGTTTGCCTAGAGTCCGTTCATAGAAGTACCTAGTGAAAGGTGTGCTTAGTGATTACACTCACGAGTTTAACATAAAAAAAATTCATAAATTTTGTAGATGAATAGCTGGTACAAGGAATTAGTGACCATCGAAACCATCTCGTTCTCCGCTTTCAGAAAACATATGGCATGTCTGAGATCTGTCCAAAGAAATGCCGGGGTGAAGGGTGTGCCTAGTGACTTCTGTAGATTTTCGACTTTTCAACAAGAAAATTCCTAACTTTTGTAGATGAACAACTTGTACAAGGAAATAGTCACCGTTGAAACCGTATCGTCCTCCGCTTTCAGAAAATAATATATACTTTGCCTGGGATCCATCAAAAAAGTGCCTGTTGAAGGGTGGGTGAGATAATCTTATATATAAAGCTGAATGTCTGTTTGTATGTCTGTCTGTATGTCTGTCTGTATGTATCGAGCATGCTGATCACCCTCGTGGGGGTGATCAGCATGCTCGATTACATCCCCCTGCCAAATTCCAGCCCCCTAGCTCAAATTTTGCAAAAAAAAATCGATAAAATCGATAAAAGTAATGCACGGTTTCGAAAACTACAATACCGCTCACATTTTTTGAAAAAAAGACGCGAATGTATGGACATGTATGGACATGTCCATACATGTATGGACATGTCCATACATCAGCGTCGCGTGGCCATATCTCGCTTCAGTGTGAACGAATTCTGAATCCAAGGCCACCATTCGATTCAGCTCGGCGCGGAGAATCTTCTAATATATTGGAAGTGGGGGTACGATGTTTTCGACATTCCGTTTCCAGTTTTTTCTATTTGTTCTGCGGAGGTCCTTTCGCGAATATGTGAAGCAACGCCTACCCAACATAGAAGACTTTACTAAGTACTATTCGATAATACTGTTCTTGTAAATTATTGTGCGCTAGAAAATAGGCTCAGACTTCTTTCCAAAGGAGGTGAAAGCGTTGGTGAATTTTGGAAAAATCACGCGTTTCTAAATTCTACTCGCCATATCAGCAGGATACGAAGCTATCTTGCTAAGCAGATGTGAGTTTCGAAATCAGCAGGTCGCATAACCTCTACGAGCAAGTTTTCCGATATGTTCGGGTCATTTCATTTTTTCTCGCTCTACGCTCCGGAAGCGCGCCGATGGATTCTGGTCAAAATGTTGATGCTCTTGAATTGTAAGGAAACTTCGCTTATAGAGGTTTTCGAACACGCTCTTTACGAAAATCGTGGTCTTTGAGGATGACAGGGTCTTTTTGGAGAGATACGGTGAGGTGACTGTAACTTCATCACGAAAGTACGTAACTTTGGCCGCACTTCTCGCGTATCTGTCAGAAACCTTGCTTGCTTGCTTTTCTCAGTCAAAGTTACTAGGAAGTGTGCTATCGAATGGTGTATTCCTCAGGCTCCAGTCTGTGAAATTCGCCGAGTTACGAGCCTACAAATACACGTCCTCATGAATTTTGCCCACATTGTAAAGATCGCATATCTCGTCGAAATTCCTCCGCGAGCAATTGTATTAGGTCATCCGAAAAGTTTTTTTCGTTTTTGCACCTCCAAATTCAAACGAGCACAATTTTTCCCTGATTCAGCCTTTTCCCAACAAATAAACTGCATTGTGTTCAGCAAATTTCTCGTTACTCTCTTATAGTGCTCTTGTGCTTTTCTCTTGCGGAATGATCTCAGAGGAATCACTAAAGCCTGAAAAGGCGTTTTTGATTAGTCAATCTCTATTAGGTCCTATTATTTTTTAACAGACAC